CAGATGTTCTTGGTAATTGTGGACGCCTATACTAAATGGTTAGAAGTGGCTCACATGCGCTCAACCACTTCTAGTGCTGTCGTCACTGTGCTGCGACAGTTGTTTGCCACTCATGGGTTGCCCGATGTTCTCGTGAGTGACAACGGTGCACAATTTACTTTCGAGGAGTTCCGGAGGTTTTTGTCTGATAACGGCATCAGACAAATGACAGCAGCGCCATTCCACCCGGCCTCAAACGGCCAAGCAGAGAGAATGGTTAGAACAACAAAAGAAGCTCTTGCAAAACTGGTATGTGGTGATTGGGGGGTGAAACTTGCTTCGTTTCTATTGAGACAACATGTTACCCCTTGTTCGGCAACCGGCCGCAGCCCGGCCAAGATGTTAATGGGTCGCCGTTTAGCAACCCTGTTAGACAGGTTGCATCCTGACCTCAATGATTTGAAACCACAACAGCCAAGCGCAAGTCCGAAGGTCTCTGGTATGTGGTGATTGGGGGGTGAAACTTGCTTTGTTTCTGTTAAGACAACATGTTACCCCGTGTTCGGCGACCGGCCGCAGCCCGGCCGAGATGTTGATGGGTCGCCGTTTAGCAACGCTGTTAGACAGGTTGCATCCTGACCTTAATGATTTGAATCCACGACAGCCAAGCGAAAGTCCGAAGGTCCGGACATACGAAAAAGGTGAGCAAGTGTATGCTCGTAACTATGCCAGTGGTCACTCGTGGCTCCCAGCCACTATTACTGATGTAATCCGTACTCATATGTATGTGGTACAACTTGCAGATGGTCGCAAGTGGCGTAGGCACATAGACCAGCTGAGGCAGCGGTGGGCAACTGACCGATCCACCGTGCAGCCGGCTGAGTCAACTGAGGAATTCCCAAGACCTCTAGAAGAGGCAGGTACTGTAGAGCCTGAGGGCTACAGTAGTGGTCAAGAGACAGGGCAGACCCCTAATCTTGAACTACCAGTAATGGATGGGAATGTTCCTGACTCTGAGGTCCCAGAGTCAAGCGGAGTGCCACTGACGGGATTGTGCCCTGAGCCTATTCCACCTCGTAGGTCTCAGTGAACGAGACGTGCACCTACCTACCTAAGCGATTATGACTGTTTATGACTGTTTTTGCTTAGGGGGGAGGGAATTGTAATGTATTCATATGAAGACATGAGTACATGCGGATATGGTGAATCATCCCATAGGGAAGCTATGCAAAGCTTTGTCTTGGACTAGGGCTTCAAGTCCAAGACTACTGGTCCAATCACGTTCAAGCGAACGGGAAGCGGGAACGTGTATGATTGGTCCTTATGCGATCAACCTGATAGGTTGTTAAATGTAAAGTAGGAGTGGCTACATTAGCCGGGAATGTTTAAATACCGAACAGTTTCTATGGACAAACTGTTCGGGCTATCAGATGTTGTAACGTGTTGGAGAAGTGAGCGTGAAGAAGAATAAACTTGAGTTTTGGATGAAATCACTCTCTGACTCTTTGTTAAGCTCAGGACTTAACAGGATACACGCTCAGTTTTGCTACAGTTCCTCTGAAGGACTCAGAATCAAGAGGAACTAGGCCTCAAAACAGGAACACTGATAAGAAGTTGTTTTCTTCACACAAGGTTATCTGGGTCGTAGGGTTGCCAGTTTCCATTTTTTTGATCTTCTGTTTTTACAATTGACCTCCAGACTACAGAGATCAGTTCCCATGGAGAAAATGGCTGCTTTAGAGGGTGGACTCTATAGCATTACACCGTGTTGAGGTCCCTCCCCCAAAATCTCCAGGTATTTCCCAACCCAGAGCTGGCAACCCTACTTGCAGGCAATTTCTTGTTTTAATAAGTATTTTATAATTTAAATGGAAGTGCCTACAGTGATATTCTTATGAGAATAAGGAGGCAGGAGACTGTGGGGTATTAGGTATGGCCTGTTATGCACAACTATTTTGCCTTGCTTTCACCGTGAATGTTCGTAGGGTTTTCTTTTTCTTTCTGCATTGTCTTTCCTATCTTCAGCACTCAGTTTGCTTTCTGTTCGCTGTTTTCCCTGGTTTTCTGAGAGTGCTTTTGTGCTGGTTTTTCCCTTGCTTCACTTCCAAGCTGAAGATGATTCAAAAGCATACAGATTCCCTCAGATTCCCCCCTGCCCCTTTCCCGCCCCTTGGTCACTCCACCGCTCTTATTGAGGCTGTTCCACCCACTCTGTACCTTCTTCCATCATCCCCCCTTCATCGGTGTACACAGGGGTCATTTCGTAGAAAAAGAGGTGCAGGAGCTCATTAGCATAACTCATTAGCATAACTCATTTGCATATGCCACACCCCCTGACATCACCGGACATATGTCAGAAGGCAACACCCACCGCTCAGGCTCCACTGGACTGTTTTGGATTGCTAGCTATTGGTGTGTGTGGGGGAACGTGCAGATCTGTCCTCACAGAGGAGGGAGAGCTTGTACCTGAATAAAACTGGGTCTTAAAGGTGCCACTGGACTGTTTTGGACCGGGGGGCCTCTGCAACTTACCTGGCTGCTTCTTGCTCTAACTGAGGGCTGCTGGGAGCAGGGGGTGGGGCTTGTTGCATGTGTCCGCCCCTCTTTACTGCCGGAGCTCCGCTCCTGTATGCTCCTGCAGGAAATGACCCCTGGGTGTACAAGCTCCATTTCCCCCTTGTTTTAATTTTTTTTGATAAGCAGCATGAGTCTAGCAATATGAGACTATCGCTAGTCTCAGACCGCTGGGAAAAAATGACTCCTGGCTGGACTGCCTTCTCCTGCTGCGTGGTTTAAACTGGGCGGAACAACAGAATAAATATACTGGAGAAAAAATAATATTTTTTCTCAGACTCTCTACAGTAAGCTGTGTGTGTGTGTAATAGGCCTATGAATCATGAAAGGGAAGGAATGCATGTAATTGGGCCTTTTTGCATATTAGAGCTATACCTTAGGTTCTTTTTACAGGTAATATTACCATTGGTTACTATGACAGACCCCTGTCTCTTTCTCTCAACACCCAGGCAGAATTTTCCCGCCAAAAATATTTTAGTTCCTCTCTGAGTCACCGTCTAGTAGCGTGTGTTTCTTCTTTGTTTGATAAGCTTTAAACTGTCCCACCCTGTCACAGATATTTGTTTAGGCTTTAGACCCAGTACAGGAACTTGAGGGAAATACAGCAGCTGTCCTCCTTTATAAACCCTTGTTCTGTTTTATAAACCTTTGTGGCACTTGAGGCAGATTAATTTTCAAAAACAGAACAAAATTTTTATTAAACATACATGGAATATATAAATATGAGGATTCAAGGTGTAGAGGTTGCTGAGATAAAACTTTCTAATATATACAGCATTGAGGCTTCTGAACATACAAGAGAGTGTTGTTGAAGCTTAATTTCTGAGTTTCATGTTCTTGGTTTTCCCTTTAGATAGTACAGTTTTTCCACTAACTCCTGAGGTGTTTAAGCTTCTCCCATTTATCACAGACCAGGATTCTCTTCCCAACACCCCTTTCACTGGCAGGAAGTTATTCTTCTGGTCCCTAAGAAGCAATAACCCCTTTTACTATTTGGCTTGTATGGAAATTCTAACTACCCAGACCTTCTGCCAAATTTTTCTCCAGAATCTGTTGTCTGTATAAAGCTGTTCTGTAGCTTTCTTGACTGAGAATCTATATTCTCCATCAGAGTAGTTCTAATATATTTAAGACAACAGTGTCCTTCTTCGCTTTATAGAAGTACTTTCCTGACAATTCCCTAACAGGAAACACTGACTCCCAAAGTCTTTTCCCTCAGAAGCCAAACCCTTTGGCTACTGATCCAGATGTTACCTTTCAGACCAAGACCAAAAGTATCTCAAAAGGCAAAAGACTCTCTTCCCTCCAGATCAGCAGATTTATTCACTCTCTAAGCTGACGCTGGCCTATCAGAGAGAGAATAAAGCAGCCAATCACGTAAACTCATCTCTCCAGAGAAGATTAACTCATAACCTCCCTGACAAAAGCAGCATTTCAAAAAGCCCGCTTTTCCTTGCAATCCATCACAGTTACACAAATCCTAAATGCACATACAGAAGACAGAAAGTCCATAATTAAGGTTGCCATCCTCCAGGTGGTGTCTGGAGTTTTCCTGCATTACAACCGAACTACAGGCAACAGAGATCAGTTCCCCTGGAGAAAATGGTTGCTTTGGAAGGTGGACTCTATGGCATTGAACCCCATTAAAGTTCCTCCCCAAACCCCACACTCCTGAGCCTCCACCCCAAAATCTCCAGGTATTTCCCAACCTAGAGCTGGCCATCCTATCCATAAGACATAGTGAAGTCTGCCTTGAGTCTCAGCAAGAAAGGAAAATTATAAAGTAAACACAAAATTCCTACCTCCCAAAATATGATTGCACATGTTGCAGATTTGTACGTCACTTCTGGCGGCTTGCATTGGTCTGGTGGGCCAGGGGCCGTGGTGTGTTGGCACTTCTCTGAATAGGGGCCAAGCTGATAAAGGAGTTGACATAGTTATCATTTTGTTCGAGAAAATGCTACATGTGTTTCATAAGTCTGGCATTCAGAATTATACCTCTACAGCTAATTTATTTAGTACATTTTCACCCCACCTTGACCACCTTGTCTCCAAGGAGTTCAAACAACAAATATATACAATCTAATAGCTACCAGTCAATTTAAACCTTTTTTACACAATCAACCCCAACGGGAGTTTCTAGAATTGTACACCCGCTTCTCCTTGCTATTAGATTGTACAAACTGATTATTATTGTTGATATTGCATGTAATGAATAATATACCTGTTTTAGAATATTATGAATAATACACAATGCACTTTATATGATGGAACATATAGAATACTTTAATTTATAAATAAGGTTTTTGCAGTGTATATATTTGTTGTTTGACTCTTCTAACACTGCAGCTCGAGTTTCCACAGCTGCTTTCTCCAAGGAGTTCAAGGCAACACTACCTCCCCTCCTCCGTTTCACCACAACAACCCTATGAGATAGATTAGGCTGAGGGAGAGGAGATTGGATTTATGCCCCACCCTTCACTACCCAAAGGATTCTCAGAGCGGCTTACAATCCCTTTCCCTTCTCTCCACAACAGACACCCTGTGAGGTAGTTGGCGCTGAGAGTGCTCTCTCGAGAACTGCTCCTGAGAGAACAGCTCTGAAAGAACTTATGACTAACCCAAGGTCACACCAGCAGCTGCACGTGGAGGAGTGGAGAATCAAACCCGGTTCTCCCAGATTAGAGTCTGTGCTCTTAACCACTACACCAAACTGGTACCTGCCTCTTGGGCACCTGGCTCTTGGGCACTGGGAAGGGATCCTCAGAGACAGCAAGATATCATTTCTGGGAGTGACATCAGTCCTCTCTAGGTATCGTCAAAAACTCTATGGTTTTTGGTAATTCCTAGAGAGGTTTGATGTCACTTCCAGGTTTTCCTAGAAATTATGTTACACTGTTGCTGACAACAGTACCTAGGCCCTGTCCCCCATCTCTTGCTGGTTTCCAGGCTGGTTTTCCTGGAAGTGACATCATGCCATTGCTGCCAGTTTTTAAAAATTTATTTATTCTCTTCTGCTGGCTGCTAGAGTGCTGGCAGGGAACACCCCCGGGGGTGGAAAATCTCCTTCCAACGCTAACGAGGATAAAAATGTTGTGAGACCATATGCATGCCAACTGACTCCTTTTGCCTGGGTTCCCTCCTTACCCCAGCTGCATTGGCAGCCCTCAGTCGAAAGCTATATGTTGTTCCAGGGAGTAGGTGGCTGACTGTGAATTCTTCATCAAGGCCACAGTAAACGTCTCGAGGTTCATCTGTTTCTGCAGGAGACATTTCCAAACTGTATGAGATTATTGGTGATCCATTATCTACAGCAGGTGGCCCTGAAACAAGAAAAAAAAACCCAGTTATTAAGGGATTATTTAGGTATGTTAAAATGAACTAAGGCAGTGATGGCGAACCTTTTAGAGACCGAGTGCCCAAACTGCGACCCAAAACCCACTTATTTATCGCAAAGTGCCAACACGGCAATTTAATCTGAATACTGAGGTTTTACTTTAGAAAAAACAACTCATACCTTAACTTAAGATGATCCAAACAAAGTAAGGAAAGCAATCTTAAATGCTTTCATTGACTTAAAATTATTTGGCAGAGAATTTGACACTTTAATGATGGTCTGGGCCTGGCTGGGGCGATGGCACACGTGCCCACACAGAGTGGGCTCTGAGTGCCACCTCTGGCACCCGTGCCATAGGTTCGCCACCACTGAACTAAGGTTTACTGTATTAAACAACAACATTACCCCAACGTAATGGAATCTCTCTTGATCTTGGTCTGCCCTGTAACCTTGGAGGCTGACATGGACCAGGCAGCAGGGGTGGCGTCTGCACCAACAGTGAGTCAGATGCCTACAAGAACGGTAAAGATAATCATCATAAACAATATCATGCCAATAGCTGTAGACTTGATCTTGATCTTTTTTAGGGCTGCCAATCTCCAGATAGGGAATCCCCCTGGAGAAAATGGGCTCTATGGCATTATACCCTGCTGAGTTCCCCATATGTTTGCAGGCGGGCGACAACTGATACTGGGGGAAACAGGCAGACAAAAGACATTGCAGCCTGACAACAATACAGGGGAGGCCAATATAAATAGATCTCCACCACCTCAGCCATAGGCCCCCGCTCCCAGGTACCACATCCCCCGCTCCCAGGTGCCACCTCCCCGCTGCCGATCAGCTGGCTGGCGTGGAGGAACTCACTGAGAAAAAGGAGATCCAGCGTCATTACCCACATGACCCAAAAGTGGCGTAATCACTTCTGGGACATCAGGGGCAACACTCTGCTGTTTGGCAAAAACTCTATGGTAGAAGCCACATTTACCATAGAGTTTTTGCCCAAATACCAGAGTGTCACCCTGGCATCCTAGAAGTGATCACATCACTTCTGGGTCATGTGGGCAGCAGTGTTCCCTCTAAGCTGAGTTAGAGTGCGCTAGCTCACAGTTTTTTAGCCTCCGGCTCACACATTTTTGTCTTAGCTTAGGAAGGATGGCTTCAGAGCAAACTAATTTATGCAGTAGCCAAATCACCTGCTCACAACTTTAATGCTGGTGGCTCAGAAAGTAGAATTTTTGCTCACAGGACTCCAGAGCTTAGAAGAAGCATTGGTGGGCCGTGACATGTAGGGTTGCCACGTCCTCACCCCATGAAGAGCGGGGGAGTCCAGTGCTGGTCCGGGAGTCCATGCGCGTGCACGAAGTGCGTGCGTGCTGCATTTACGACACCCGGAAGTGATGCAATCATGCTGGGCACGTTGGGGGCGGGGCCACAATAATCCGAGGGAAAACCATAAACCGGGGGGGACTTGGCAAGCCTAGTGACATGTCTACATAGGCTGGGCCTCCCTGCGGCTTCCAGTAGGTCCCTCCACCTCCTGCCAGTTGCCAGGAGGGACCTGGCAACTCTATGTTGCATTGAACACATGATCCCCACAAGGACTCAATTCTAAAGTGCTGCTGGGACCCAGTTTACATCAGGACCCTGAACTACTTTAGAACTGAGTTCCCACAGGGAACTTACAGCTTCTGAGTAGCTGCAAGTCCCCCTGGTGATCTCATGATCAATGTAACAAGTAGATGGGACTTACACTGCCATCCTAAGCAGAATTGCACTTTTCTAAATTCATTGAAGTCAACAGACCCTGAAGGGTGCCGCTTTGTTGAGGATGGCAGTTTTAGAAATGAAACAAGCTCCCCTAAAATGTAAGTCATACAAAAAATTAACTTTACCACACTTTGCCCTCCTTCTCCAACGCAAGATACCCGTAAGTGGTAAAAGCAGCCAGGATTCAAATGATCGCATGAATATTCCATAGCAGTTCCACTGTATATCATGTCCCATTGGTTCCCTGGAAGAGTTAACAGTGATCCAAGGTATAATTTTTAACAATTCAGTATGAGACAGTGCAGGTGTTTCAGAAATTCCAGATAAGCATTTATCTTTGTTATCTCTATTTCCATGGAATTGAAGCAGGGTTGTCAGGAAGTGCCAGGCAACTGATGGGAGGGTTGTTGGGGGGGGGGGGGGCACCCCAGGAGAAATAAGAAAAATAAGGCCTCATTTACTTACAAAAAATTCTGACCACAGAGTTCCTAGTGATTCCTAGAGCTACCCAGAAGTTACGAGGGTAGCTCTAGAAATCTTCGGAAACTCTATGGTAATCTTACTTCTGGGTAGCTCTAGGAATTGCCTGTAAGTAGACAACTTCCTGTTAGTAGAAAAGGCTTTACTTTTTATTTTTTTTAATGTGCCCCCCACACACACACTTTGGCCCCAGTTTTCACGCACTGATCAGGTGAGCATCACCACACAAAGGCCACAATTACCTGGAGGTCTTCTGCCATAAGCAGGTGAATGGGAAAGCTAAATTTAAGGGAGTGTACCTGTTGTGTAGTGGGTTAGCTGCATGGAAGAATTGCTGAGGCACGCATGATACACTGCACACTTTACTGGTACAAAACACGCACACCCACCAACGGCCGATTGGCCGCATATACAGTCTGGGGAACCTCCCATTGGCCCATTCAAACCTCCCGCCAATGTCCCATTGGTTCCCCTAGTGGCAGGGTGCAGGAGCCTGGTCCCCATTGTTCTCCGGACTCAAGCTTCCACCCAGGCATTAGGTTAAATTCCACAGATGTATTCCACCTTAACCTCTTGCATCAGAGAAAGAGAAAGAAGAAGATGAAGAAGAGGAGGAGGAGGAGATTGGATTTTTACCCCGCCCTTCACTCTGAGTCTCAGAGCATTTTACAATCTCCTTCCCTTCCCCTCCCCACAACAGACACTCTGTGATGCTCTCAGGAAAGGTTACTGCCAGGAAAGGGTACTGCCATTAGTGGAACGTATCTGTTGGATCCAACCAAATGAGGAGGCCCAGACCAGCTTTGCTTTGGCACTGTTATTGCCTCATGAGCCTACAGACTATGCTGTGTGACCTTACTGGACTTTTGGAAGCTTTTGAAAACAACACCACAGTTTCAAAAACCTGATTTCCTAGACAGCTTTGTGTCAATTAGCCAAGGTAAAGAATCACTAATACAGCTTGCTTACAATGCAGTTGTTCTGCTGTGCGTAGCGTCTTGATAATAAGGTTATAGTAAAAATGAAGGGAAATAATATTCAAAGCAGCCTGTGGGGAAGGAAGTTTAATTAAATAATACATTATAATCAAATAATCAATATTTAATTTTTTAATACAGCGTCAACAAGGCCACATTTAAATTATAATTTTGATAAACTTGCTTGATTCCACTTTACCAAACAGCAGTCAGATGTACCTGACAATGACTGAAATCCTAAACACACAATAATAGTGAATGCGTTGCTCAGTTGCATGAAGGAGTTCATTAAGGCATTTTTTTTTTTTAATCAAAGCTGCTTCAGGAAGCTGTGAGGTGCAATTTCATAGCAGATAGAGCTTGTCTTTTCCCCCTGTGGGCTAGCTTCTTTACTGAAACCCACATGGGGGAAAGAAATTAATGTGTGTAGCACGTCTCCCCCCCCGGGGGGGGCAAAAGTAGATCCAAGTGGACAGTTTTAATTTTAAAAACAGCCCACAGAGAAAGAGACAAATATCCCACCATATAGTTTTGTTCAGGCCTTTTTTTGTGGTGGTACTCACTGGTACAGAGTACTAGAGTGCCTGGCAACTGGCGGGAGGGTTGTGGGTGGGGCCATGGGGGGCCATGATGCCGGCTGTGGTGCAAGTCATTTCCAGTAAAAGTTCAGAAGTAACATAGGGTAGCTCTAGGAATTACCAGAAACTTACGCAAAACTCTATGGTTTCACAACAGACTTTCCAGCAATTCCTAGAGCTAACCTATGTCACTTTCGGTGCTGCCTTTATTTCCTCCTGCTACCACTTGGAGGTCAGGGGAGCAATGGGAGCTGGGTGCAGAGGATCCTCCCCACCGAGATTTTGGCAGCCCTACTGAATACTGGCACTTTTTTGGAGGGGTCTCCCAAGTCCTGAGGTAGAAATCGGTAGAAATCGCTGCAATTTTATATATGAGTATATAAATACTGTGAGGTAAATATATACCAAGTGGTACACCTTGCCTAGTTCAACATTTATAAAGTGTTTTTCCCCCAATTGGATAATAACAATCGTTCTCAGCCTCTGAATATTTTTAAACTGTGTTTTTTTTACTCTGAAAATTTTGAAAGCAAAGTGAGCTGCTTTGCACAGTGCAGCCAAAGAGGAGGAAAAGAAGATGGCTGGAAATAACCAGTTGCTCTGTGTCCCTTCCTGTTCCTGACTAATAGCAGTTATCTTAATCATTCTAGTTCATTCTCGATGCTCTCTCTCTTACAACATTAGGTAGTATCCTGAATAGCCCAGTCCCACCGATAGGGTCACCAACTCTGGTTGGGAAATTCCTGGATATTTCGGGGTGGAGCTTGGGGAGGGCAAGGTTTGGGGTATGTCTCCATAGAGTGAGGCTTCCATAGCAGCCATTTTCTCCAGGGGAACTGATTAGGGTTGCCAGGACCCAACAGCATGCTGGCGGGGGTGGGAGGGACCTTTCCAGGAGTGGACAGGAGCGCTAGGGTTGCCAAATGGGCCCGGGGGGCGAGGAATCCCCCGCTTCGGAGCCCCGATTTCCGCCCCGGTAGAATCGGGGCCCGGGGGGAACCCCGCCTCCGTCACCAGAGGTGACGCAGCCATGTTGCTGACGTTGGGGGTGTGGCTGAGCTCGTCGGGGGGAAAACCATATGGTTTTCCCCCCGACGAGCTCGGCCACGCCCCCAACGTCAGCAACGTCGGACATCACTTCCGGTGATGTCCTGCCAGTGCGTGCGCGCTTTGCCGTACGCGCACGCACCCCACTGAACTCCCGGACACCGAAGAAGATCCCCCGCTCCGAGGGGTAAGTGTATTTGGCAACCCTAAGGAGCGCCACAACATTCCTACAGCACCCGGAAGTGATATAAGCATGTCGGGGACATTGGGTGACGACACTCTGGTTTTTGGGCAAAACTCTATGGTAGGATTAGCTACAAATCATAGAGTTTTGCCCAAAAGCCAGAGTGTCGCTGCCAACATCCTCAATATGCCTACGTCACTTCCAGGTTGTGCAGACATGTCACAGTTATTTCTGGCTTCTTGGAGGTAAAAGGGGGTATTGGGGGGGGGGGAGCACCCAAAAGCAGGACACCTCCGCTTGGACCAGGGGGTCTAGCAACCCTAGAACTTTTTTATGTAGTTTGGAAATCTGTTGAAATTCTTGGAGATCCCCAGGGCCCACTTGGAGGCTGGCAACCCTCTATCAACAGCCGACAGGACTGAAGTCTTATTAAGCAAAGTTATACACTTCTAGACCTCTTGAAGTTAACTTAGAAGGGTGACACTGTGCTTAGGGTTGCACTGTAAACCTAAACATAGGCTTATCTGCATACTATTTACCGATACAAAATATTAGGAATATTTTAGGAATAGCAAAGAGAAAAGGGCCATGAATAACAGACTAGCATAACATACTTCAAATCTTCCTGTATCATTTCTTACCATTTAAGCCTTCAGAAATTTCTAAAATGTATTTAGTGATTGCCGCTCCTCCATCGTCCATGGGCGGCTCTGCCAAAAGGAACACAACAAGGAAATACAGAATATAAAATACAGAAAAATAAGGGAAAGTATGCAGTCATGGGCTGTGTTTTTATAAATTAAAATTAAATTAAGACAATTAATCCTGAAACAATAGGAAAAAACTTGAGCCCAGCGGCACCTTTAAGACGAACAAAGTTTAATTCTGGGTATTAGCATGCACACAAAAGCTTATGCCCAGAATTAAACTCTGTTTGTCTTGAAGGTGCCACTGGAATCAAACTTTGTTCTGTTGCTTCAAACCAACATGGCTACCCACCAGTATCAATCCTGAAACAACTATGGAATGAAATTAATTGAATAATATTTTCCCACATAAATAGAAATATATAAATTCAAGGTCCACAAATAAATGAAACCCACAATTTTTATGACCCTGCCTGGAAGTGCCCTTTTTTTGACAGTCAGTTATTTTCCAAGTAGCCCCTGGGTTCCTACAGTATTTAAATTAAGGGACAAAGGAATATTTATTCTCTGAGCTACCGGTCACAAAAAGATGTGACATTCCCTGGCCCATCAGCACGTTTCATTGGTATTCCAGAGTCCAAACCGCTGGAAAAGTTGCAATTTTTTCATGTATTATCAGGTACCACGGTGCAGTGGTTACAAAGTCAGACAAGGATCTAGAAGATCCAGGTTCGAATCCACATTCTGCCGTGGAAGCTTGCTGGGTGACCTTGAGCCAGTCACAAGTTCTCACCTTGACCTACCTCATGGGATTATTGTGAAATTAAAACAGAGAAGGGGAGAATGTTATAATAAGCCATTCTGGGTTCCCAACGGAGAGATAAATGGGGCATAAGGAAGGAAGGTCTCATTGAATTCAGTGGACGATTCTGCATTGGCTTTTCCCTCTGTTGTTTTACCAAAAGCACCTTGGAACACCTCTGCATTGCATGCTGCTTTCACTTCCTTTGATCATCGGATTTTATGGTACCATCTACACTGCGTGACGCTTTCACTTTCTTTAATCCTTCGGTTTTATGGTGCCTTCTGCATAGATTTATGGCCGTCCAGGGGTGCCTTTGCAAACAGTACCGTGTTGCCCCGAGTTATTTGAATGTGGTTTTGAGCTGCACTTTTTCCTCCCAGTTGAGAAAATGTGGAGCGAATGCTAGACGCATAATCGCCCAGTGTTGGTTTTTCTTTCAAGTAACCATGCAAAGGGCCAACCTACAAGACTGATAGGGCAAACGGAAAACTGCCACTGGCAATAACCAAACCTTAGCTAAAATTGCGGTTGCCAAACCCCTCAGTTTGGCAGGGGTCCCCTGCTTTTGGGGGGCTTCTACCCGCCACCGGCCAACTGACCATTGGGGGAAGCCCCGCCCCCAAGCCCCAACACCCCCAGCCACCCCTCTCCCTTCTCTCTTGAGAGAGAGGAGGGAGAGGGGTGGCTGCGGGCCATGCACCCGATCTCCGTGGAGATCAGGCATGTGAAGGGGAAACGCCGGCTCCGTGCACTTAAAGGGGCCCCTTTAAATGTAAGGAGCTGGCATTTCCCATGTGCCCGATGTCCATGGAGATCAGGCGCACGCAGGGTGGGGAACGCCAGCTCTCTGCACTTAAAGGGGCCCCTTTAAGTGAAGGGAACTGGCATTCCCCACCCCATGTGTGCCCGGTCTCCGTAGACATCAGGTGCGCGGGAAACGCCGGCTCCTTGCATTTAAAGGGGCCCCTATAAGTGCAGGGAGCCGGCGTCGCTGGAAGATTGGGCGGGGGGATGTCCCCAATGTGATGTCATCACATTGGGGATGCCCCTCCCCCTCCAGGAACGCCCCCCCAAAGTCCCCCACTGGGGGTGAACATGGGACTTGGCAACCCTAGCTAAAATCTTGTGTATATAGGGTTTCCAGCTCTGATTTGGGAAACACCTGGAGATTTTGGGGGTGTAGCCTGGAGAAGGTGGGGTTTGGGGAAGCGAAGGACCTCAGGGGGGGCATAATGCCATGGACTCCACCCTCCAAAGCAGCCATTTTCTCCAGTTGGTCATCTGGTGATCAACTGTAATAGCAGGAGAACTGCAGGTGACACCTTAGGTTGACAACTCCCTATGGAAACATGAAAATCATCACAATGGTGTCCTGATCGCCAAACCTTAAAGTGCTGGCTGGTCTAGCAAACTTCTGTTTCTGAAACTAACTCTTGAAAGCCAAACAAAGAAGCCACATTTCCTGTAAGTTCGCTTTGAGCATGGATGTGTTTTTTGCTGCTTTTATGTGTATAAATTTTCTTTATGTTGTAATGTTATTTTCCTGGTCTCTAAAGACCCTTCTCAAGAGTTGCTACATTTAATATAGAGACTAGCCCTTATTTCCTTAAACCATATCTCATGTGGGACCTGTCCTTGATAGACTAAGCTTCGAAGCCAAAAAGGTCTCTCTATATTAAATGTAGCAACTCTTTAGAAGAGTCTTTAGAAACCAGGAAAATAACATTACAACATAAAGAAAATTTATACACAATACCAGTTAAGTTGCTTCTGAGGAAGTTAGAGACGAAACCAAGCATAAGCCGGCTGCTTTGTCAAGAAGCTCTACATTCTTTTGACTGTTAACAGCACATGTTTTGGAATTCCACTAGTATCTTCTGGCTGTTGGCAGCAATTATTTTGTTGTATTACCGTGTTATTGTATAACATTAAGATATTGTATGATTAGGTTGTATACCTTGTGAATATTTTGTATACTTAGATACTATAATCAAGTATAAAAGTAATTGTATTAGCATATATAACTAATGTTTAAGAGTGTATTATTGGACTGATATTGGCCCCAGTTTTGTTGTCTTTGGAGTTTGGTTACTGGGAGGTCTGTCTTTTGGGTTTGGCCACGTTAATAACAACATCAAAGCCTCACTGAGAAACTGACGGAATTGTACCCCAAAATATTTCCACGCCTCGTGCAAGAATTTTCCCCTTGACAACTGGTTTCGAAGGAGCTCCAGGTTTATCTGGCCTAGTGGTGAGGACGACCACGTCACTTGGATTGCTTTTACCTTCTGAGTTGCAAGCAGTGACCTATAAAAACAGATAACATGATTGAAAGCATCTTCTGTATATTCCTACAAATAAGCATAAGAACAAGCATTTAAGCCCGAAGTTGAACATACCCTTTATTTATCACTGCTTTATTTATCACTTTATTTATCACTGCTCCACTGGTCTGGAAAAACATGCCAATTTTTTACTGACTTGCAAGGAACAGTTGCAAGTGCAAGAGATACAGTTAATTCAGTGCCAGAATCATCTTTGCCAGTTATTTGAAAATGAAGAACATCCACATTAAACTCTAAGCTATAATGAAGAAGAGCACATCTTACACAAAAGTCAAAAACTGCATGATAGCAAAAAAGATTGAAAACGGTTTGCAACAGGGGTCCTCAACCTTTTTTGAGCCTGCGGGCTCCTTTGGAATTCTGACACAGAGAGTGATGGGCGCAACCACAAAATGGCTGCCCCAAAGTGTCAGGGACTGAATTCATGCGTAACTCTAATCGTTACTCTCTAACACTGCAGGCAGGACAGCTCTGTTTTACAGGATGCCTTTTAAAAATGACCATATCATTTAAAAATACTTTCTTGAATACACACACAGCTTAACTTCAGCCATGCTGGGAAGATACTAATGCTGTGGTGTGGCAGTTGGCTGCTGAAACTGCTTTTTAAAAATCAGCACAGCCAATCGGATGTCCACTGACCAATCAGAAGCCCCGCTGGGCAAATGCCCCACCAGGGCCCACCCACTTTCTAAAAACACTTGTGTGCCAGGAAAAAGATGTCAGCGGGGGCCATGATACCCACGGGCACCACACTGGAGACCCCTGGTTTAGGAAGTTCTTAAGTGCAAAACCAAACAATGTTAAAAGTAACTCCTTCTCTCTCTACTAGGATGATTTTCATGCCATGACAGATGATGGTTTTGGATGGAGCGATGCACAAATAGAAATACAAATGGATTTAGTGCAGTTCTGCTTGCACAAGACCTTATGCAACACCTGGGGCTATCCTCCTGATATGTTATAGTGCTCCCAAAGTGGTTTCACAAGATCTTGCATTAGCAGAAAAACAAGTTGAGGATACAGTAAGTTTAATTCAGTGCAAGCGGCTACCACAGTCCTTTTCTTCTGCTTTCACTTGCAGAGATTCTCCAAGATGGCGTCGTGCCGACAGTGAGGGGAAAGCTGCTGCTCTGCTTTAGAATAAGTATTTTTATTCTGTGCTGTCTTTTGAGATTCCTTGTTATCACTGCCGATGTTGGGAACCTTATAATTGGACTTGGACTTGAACTTGCTGTAGTTTTTAAGTGTTTTCCTGAGCTTATCTGCTTCAAACAGCCATAATGACCGAAGGGAAACGCCTAAAGCGCTCTAGAGACGCGGAGGAGGTTTTTTCTCCTCCAAAAAGGAAGCAAACAAAGATAGATGACTTTGTCAGAGGAGGAACTGCTGTTGATATTTATAACATTCCAGTCTCTAATAGATTTGCGGCGTTAGCTCAAGAAGAAACTAATTTGAAGGAGATGGCAGACAATGAGGAAATTTCCCCCAGCAATATGCCAACAGGTGTGCCTTGTTGTGACTGTGAGGGGAATCTCTGTAGCATAACAAATCTGATTTTCCATACAGTTAAGCATATATTGGAATATTTAAAGGAAATCAAGGAGAAGCTTGAGAATTTATCGGACTTGAAACCTAGGGCTTGTGCTTGTGCTGTGAGTAAGCTCAGAAACTCTCCAGGCACTGATAACATACATGATAACATACCGGATAAGACGACGGCTTGTTTAACAAACAGAGCTAAAGATCCAACTAATATTCTCCCTTTTACAACAAAAACTGATGACGGGAGCCATAGGTCTCATCTGACCCTACAATCAAAGCAAATTTGTCTAACTATTTGTGGTTTTCAAGGCAGGATTCCAAGGTGGAACACCAGATGGATGGCACTTAAACATTTGAGTACTCTTCTTGGTGTACGAGTCTCCAGGATTGATTTGGAAGCTATAGAATTGATTAGCCTGCCGACTCAAGTCCAGAGAGTGTTACTCATGTTTTATAGCAGACACTTTCCCTCTTTAATGATGAAACAGAACATAGCCCTTAGGAAAAAAGGGATCTTTCCAGCACGAGTATTTGTAAATACCTCGAAACCAGTTTCACTTTTGCCCACGATCCGTAAAATGAATATAGGAAGGAATAAGACGATATCTGACCAACCCGATCTGATGGATTTCTCTCCGCAGGAGGATAAACCACCCGATTTAGATGTGGAGTATAAGACTGATAAATCGTTAAGGAAGTTTCCATCCACTACAGCTTCTAATTATACTAGTTTAAATCTGGATAATTCTGTGGAGGAAGAATTGAAAGATGTATTCCCAAAACTCCCAAGAGAAGATCAAGTTGTCATCGTGGACAGATTGGAGCTGTTGAAGAACAGCTTATTGGCCTTGGGAAGTCAATGTGGAAATCTAGACTCCAATACTCTCAGGAAGACTTCATTACAACACCCCTGTAAAGCTCATGAAGAGATGGACTGTTTCGAAACTACAACAAACTCTGTTAAGGATTTGGTTACATTATTGGATTGCAAGAATCTTAAAACAGATATGGAAGCAGTAAGAAATGACAAGAAGAAGGATGACAGCGGAAGCCACCTGACCACTGCACAGCCGTTAAGCATGATAAATTTCCATTCTGCAATTGCACCAGTGGACTTAATTCCTAATTCTGAGGTCCAAATTTCAAGCTCTTCTATGGAGGGGAATCCATCCAGGTGTCCAACTAAAGGAACGGTTTTGGGTCCTGTTAAAAGCGTCGAGCCTGTGATGGACTTTAGTAATGGATGCGTGTTTAGTGACCCAACAGGCCAATTGGATTTGATTTCTTCTGATTGACTACATAACTCAACTTCCTTTGATGGACACAACAACTCACAGACTATCTCCTTAATGTCATGGAATGTCATGGGATGGGTTAATAGATTGAGGGATGTTGAAACTGTAACTTTTTTGAGGAAGTTTGATGTAATTTTGCTTCAAGAGACTTGGCGGGTAGATCCCATTATTTTTAATGGGTATAAAGCATATGATCTGCAAGCACTGCCCTCTAAAAGAGGGAGAGCAAAAGGGGGGTTGGGTATTTTAATATCAACTATTTTGAATGTAAGGGCTAAACAACTGGCTTCCTTTAATCAAGTGGCTATGGCATTAGTGTTGACGTATTCCCAGACAACATGTTTAATTATTAATGTCTATTGTCCCCCACAGAAAGATATAGATTGGGCAGGTCTTGAAACGTACATCTGGAATTTAATTATGGAGCATCCTACTGCATATTTGATAGTTGGGGGAGATTTTAATGCTAGGATAGGTCCAAATAACGACTTTCTCTATGAAAGATATAATACCTGTCCCCCAGAGGAGCAAGTACCTTCCCCCCCACTTGTGAGATGTTCAAAAGATCAAAAGTTTAATTCTGCTGGTTATGGTTTTTTGCAAATGGTAAATGGCATTAATTGTCATATTTTAAATGGTTCATATCCTACAGATTATCCAGCTGAATTTACCTATTGCTCTGGTGAGAGGAGGAGTGTCATAGACTATATTATTGTCTCAGGAAATGTGTTAAATCTGGTTGAACTATTTGAAGTCTCCTCGTATTTAGAGAGTGATCACTTCCCTACTATTCTGAGATTTGTGGCACCGAACTGTGATCCCCGAATCATAGATTTACATCTGCAGGAGAATGAGGAAGGAAATGAGTATTATAGGGTACCTTGGAATGAAAGGAGAGAGAAAGAAATTGCAGAGCTTTTGAGTTCTGGGGCTCTTGATGAGTTTTTAACTAAGTTAGGAATTGAGGGTCAAGAAGACTTACATCTGGATGCCTATGCTCAAATTATAAAAGAAATACAAAATGTAATGGGGAAGCCTTGCTCCAAACAAAATAGATTAACCAATAGTAATTCCAAGCCTTGGTTTGATAAAGAGTGCAGAACTATGAAAAGTGCTCTTAATGCTATGTACATCAAATATAGGTGTGACGAGGCCAAGGATACTCTTGAGGATATGAAAAACTTAAAGAAACAATATAAGTCCTTGATACGGCGGAAGAAGAAGGAAGCCATAGTCCTGGCATGGGAGCAACTAAGCTCAGCATGTAGAGATAAAAATCCCTGTTTATTTTGGAATTTGGTCTCCAACTGTACTACTAGACCTCCCTCAGTGTGCAGTAATACAATTCTCCCTGAAATTTGGGAGAAATATTTTGAGCAGCTCTACCAAGGCCAGGATGAGGCTGCAACAGAGGACCTGGATATAGGTATTTTACCCTCTTGGCCCCCTGTGCATCCTCAAGAAATTAAGAATCTTATACAGACCTTGAGTTCCAATAAAGCCCCAGGCTCTGATCTCATATGTGCAGACCTGATTAAGAGGAACCTTGAGTGGTGGGTTCCAGTTCTTGCTACTTTATTTACAACTATAGATAGAACTGGTAGAATTCCTAAAGACTGGGGGGTGGCAATAATAGTGCCTATTTACAAGAAAGGGAACAGAGCGGACCCTGTTAATTATAGGCCGATCAGTCTCCTAAGTATAATAAGTAAGCTTTACTCAAAACATTTACAGTGGAAGCTAAAAGACTGGATGGAGCAGGAAGACTTTTTGAGACAGGAGCAAGCAGGCTTTAGAGAGGGACGGTCATGTCTAGATCAGTGTGTGATACTGAACCATTTAATTTCCAAATACTCCACGAACTCTTTAACCTCATTGTATGCAGCTTTCATAGATTTTAAATCTGCATTTGATTCTGTCTCAAGAACTACCCTATGGGAAAAGTTGAAATCCTCTACAATAGATAGGCGCTTATTGTTTCTATTGAGAGCTCTCCATAAAAACACTTTTGTTAGGGTACGATGTAATCCTCAAGGTCATCTTACAAAGATGATCAGGTCAGACAGAGGAGTAAAACAAGGATGTATTTTGGCACCTCTTTTATTTAATATTTACATTAATGATATGGTACAGTTTTTGCACAAACTTGAATTCCATCCTCCAAAACTTGCAGATAGACATATTTCAATTTTACTATACGCAGATGATGCTGTCCTGCTTTCTAGGACCCCTAAGGGACTTAAGAGAGCTCTGTGTGCTCTTTGGCAATACTGCAGTCAGAACTGCTTAGAGATAAATTACACGAAGACTAAAATAATGGCTTTTGCCAACAAGCCTAGGGTGTTTAACTGGGTCATTGACTCTCGTCCCATTGAGCAAGTTCGCTGCTATAGATATCTTGGAGTTATATTTCAGTCGTCTGGTCATATGAAAGGCCATGTTGATTACCTGTCAGCCAATGCGAAGAAAAGTGCTGGAGCTATTCAGAAGTTCTTTTGGTCCAAAGGAGGTCGCAACTTAGAAGCTGCCATTAAGTTATTTACTATAAAAGTTTTACCCCAATTATTATATGGAGCTCCTTTGTCCCTCCTGGCAAATTTGACCTTACTTGAAAGAACGCAATCGAAATTTTTAAGAGCTATTTTTCAAGTTCCACCAAGTGTTTCAAACGCTGCAATCCGCTTAGAGGCTGGCCTGGTCACGGTGGAGGCAAGATTGTGGATTGCTGCATTTCATTATTGGTTAAAACTGATTTTCTTATCCACTGGCCTTTCCCATACTATGATGCAAGACAACTTTGTTCCCTTATGGCGGAAACAGATAGAAGATAAACTGGTTTGTTATGGTTTTTCAAAACAATTTATTCTGTCCTTGGGACATGAGCAGGCTAGATCAGTTCTAAAACAAAGAATACTAGATGTTGAACGACAGATGGACGTGAGTAGGATTAGGAGCCCTGTATTTGATGTAAGTACACTTAATAAGATAACTTTGAGATCTTATATCAAATATTTAGATATTTGCAACCACAGAAGAATTTTTACCCTATTAAGATACAACGCCTTACCCTCAGCCATAATGGAGGCGAGATATACTAGAACACAGAGGAAAAGTTGTATATGTGGGTTGGGAGCTGACGAAACATTGGAACATGTAATTTTTGATTGTATTATATATCAAAACATTAGGGAAGATTTGATCAAGCCTATAGTTAATTCCTTTCCAGGTCGTAATAGAAGCATACTTTTGTCAACTATGCTGGCAGGGGATAACCAAAAGCTGACTAGGATGGTTGCCAAATTTGGTTGGTTGGCATACCAAACTAGGAAAGAAATAAAGTACAGATAGGCCTAAATCTAATTTCTGATCTTAATATTGATTTTATCATGTCTGTATTTTAACACTTTTAGATTCTTATTTATAATTTTAGATGCCATAATATTTTATAATTTTATTGCTCCCTTATCTGTACTTATCTGTCTTCTATTATACTGGTCTATGACCGTAATAAAGGCTTGTTGTTGCAGAAGAGCTCTAGCACAAGCAATAATTTTGTGCTGGGGCCAACTCACCGTACAGTTTAGCAACTGTTATTTTAAATGATGGACATGATGTGATGAATATGCGCTGTTTGAACGAATAAGCATTTACAAAACAAAAATCTTACCCTAAATTTATACTTGGTACTTCTTTTAAGATCCTTCACTGTGTAAGTCAGTTCATCACCACTGTATTTGGGCTGGAAACCACACCCCTGTAAAATGAGTGAGAATTCATTTGCTTAGGTGATACGTGGTGGTAATGAAAAGGGCCATCAAGTCACAGCTGACTGATGGCAACCTAGTAGGTTTTTCAAGGCAAGAGACATTCAGAGGTGGTTGCCATTGTATGCCATCTCCATAGCAATCCTAGACTTCCTTAATGGTCTCCCATTACTAACCCGGGCTGATCATGCTTAGCTTCCAAGATCTGACGAGTAGGGATGGGCATGGATCACATTTTTGCTATTTGGTTTGGTTCATGGCTGAACCACAACCGAACCACAAACTGATACATTGGTTCATGAACCGAACCAGTTCATATCAGTTAATGACCCTGCTCTCTGCTCCCTGCCACTTTTTGCGGGGAGCAGAAAGCAGGAGGTTAAATGGCTCCAATCCATTTAAACTTAGCAGTTGAATGGCGGACAGCAGAAAGCAGGGGTTTAAATGGCCATTTAAACCTCTGCTTTCTGTTCTTCACAAACTGCCTTAAAATTCGTGAATGTTCCTGGTGGTTCTTCAGTTCGTGACCATAGCTTCAGGAACCATCCAAAATTAATGTCAAACTTTAGTTTTGGAGCCAGTTCGTGCCCATCCCCACTGATTAGATCAGGCTAGCCTGGAATATCCAGGTCAGGGCAGTCCTGCTCCTTTGATGGTGGAAAGTGCGGTCAAGTCGCAGTCGACTTATGGCAACCCCAGGGGTCATTTCCTGCAGGAGCGCACAGGAGCGGAGCTCCGGCAGTAAAGAGCCCAGGGGGCGGGCACATGCAACAAGTCCCACCCCCTGCTCCCAGTAGCCCTCAGTCAGAGCAAGAAGCAGTCAGGTAACTTGCAGAGCCCCCCCAGCCCCCCGGTCCAAGACAATCCAGTGGCACCTTTAAGACCAAGTTTTATTCAGGTACAAACTCTCCCTCCTCTGCAAGGACAGATCTGCACGTGTCCCCCCCCCCAATAGCTAGCAATCCAAAACAGTCCAGTGGAGCCTGAGCGGGGGGTATTGCCGTCTGACACACTTCTGGTGATGTCAGGGGGTGTGGCATATGCAAATAACTTATGCTAATTAGTTATACTAATGAGCTCCTGCACCTCTTTTTCTAAAAAATGACCCCTGGGCAACCCCATCATGGGGTTTTCAAGTCAAGAGAGGAACAGAGGTGGTTTGCCATTGCCTGCCTCTGCATAGCAACCCTGGAAGTCCAAAGGCAGGTTGCTATGGCCCATTTCTCTTTACTGAGGGGCTGCATCACAATTAAACGAAAAATATTTTCAAGATCACAGGTAGGACCTGGCAACCCGAGGATCCCTCCTTCTTTAGTCTGCAGAACACCCACATGATCCAACCCTAACTAAGTTTGCCAACAAGGTTGCCGACTTGTAGCTGGAGGCTGGAGATCTCCCGCTATTACAACTCCAGGCAATAGAGATCAGTTTCCCTGGAGAAAATGGCTGTTTTGGAGAGTGGACTCTTGCCAAGGTCCGTCTCCTCCCCAAACCCCGCCCTCCTTAGTCTCCACCCCCAACATCTACAGGTATTTCCCAACCCAGAAATGCCAACCCAAGCTGCCAACCTCCAGGTGGAGCCTGGAGATCTCCTGGAACGACAACTGATCTGCACATGACAGAGGTCGGTTTCCCTGGTGAAAATGGCTGCTTTGGAAGGTGGGCTCAATAGCACTGCCCCTGCTGAGGCCCCTCCCCTTCCCAAACCTGGCCCTTCCCAGGCTCCACCCCCCCAAAAATCTCCAGAAATTTCCTATATCAGAGTTAGCAACCCTTACGAATTCCAGGTGAGGAAGGCGGTTTTCTCAGCGACAGACTAACTAGCCCGCCCCTCTACTTACCGAGTCTTCATCTTCCATTTCCAAATTGTAGGAGAGATCTTCATCAGATGGCGTTCCGGAGGGTTTAGCCCACTGCAAGGATAGCCAAGTAACCCCAGCTTCAAGCAGCACAGGACTTGAAGGGGCAGTTGGAGCAGTTCCTGTGGTATGATATAGGACTTCTTCACTAAAGCCACTGTTCAAAAACAAATTGCACATAAACTAAACAGGCTAAATAGGACTTGCAGTGTAGATTTTCTACCCAAATCTGTAAAATACCTAGACTCTTTGCTGAAGGTTGCACGTATTTTCTCTCTTTCACCTTTCACTCTTGGCCCCACCCTTTTTCTGTTACCCTCTTTCACACATTCTGCTAATGGAGTTTGGGGGAGATGTTATGGGTTCCGATTTGAGAAGCAGGCTTTATTAACTACAGCTCATTTCAAGCCCCTGGTCCCAGCACTCTACAGACTCCGCCTCCTGGATCACGGGCCTGGCACTCACAGAATTAATCACAAAGACAAAGAGAAGCAGTACCTTTCAGAGCTATGGCCCCATGTTGTGTGTGTGAAGTGCCATCAAGTCACAGCTGACGTATGGTGACCCCATAGGGTTTTCAAGGCCAGAGACATTCAGAGGTGGTCTGCCATTGCCTGCCTCTGTGGAGCAACCCTGGACTTCCCTGGTGGTCTCCCATCCAAGTCTTAACCAGGGCCGATCCTGCTTAGCTTCTGAGTTCGGGCTGGCCTGGACCATCCAAGTCAGGGAAGTCCCATGTTACTAGGGTTGCCAAGTCTGATTTTCGCCGAGCGGGGGACTCCTGGCTGGCAGCTGGAGTGCGTGCGCAAAGTGCGCGCACACCGCATCCACTTCACTCGGAAGTGACGCAACCACGCCGGGCATGCTGGGGGCGGGGCCACGACCATCCGAGGGAAAACCATAGAGTTTTCCCTCGGATGACTGTGGCCCCACCCACAGCGTGCCCGGCGTGGTTGCGTCGCTTCCGGGTGACGTGAACGTTGGGGTGGGGTTCCCCCGGGATCCGATCCGCCAGCGGCGGGGAACGGTCCTCTGGGGCGAGGATTTCCCCGCCCCCCGAGGGGACTTGGCAAGCCTACACGTTACTAATAGGATTTCCAGGTACTCACCACACACTGGCGGGGGAGTGGGAGGGAGCCCTCTGGGAGTGGGGCGGGGCTCCACTTCCAAACAGTGATGTCGCTGCATGACATCAGCAATGCAGTGATCTCACGTGGAAGTGATGTCATCACGCCAGGGGTGTCGCACAACGACGCTCTGCCTTAATGGCAAGACTCTATTGTAAAATTGCCCTCAAACCAGAGTGTAACCGCACAATGTCCCTGTGGTGCACTGCTTAATTGGGGGGACTGTTTCCACTTTAAAATTATTCTTTGTGTAATAAACTGGGTAGTTTCTGCTGCCACCAGGAATTTTAAGAAATTCCAAATCTTCTCTCTGTTTCTGCTGTTGGTAATGTGACCTTCAAAGGTCTATGTGGCCCTGAGGAAGGATTGAACTGAATTCTGGGTTAAACTTAAACAAAATATGATTTATTGATTAAGGAACAAAAAATAAATTGCTGGTTAACTGTAACTGTATTGGGGGAAAGGAACTGGTAAATAAACTGGCAAGGTATCACACACAGTCTTTTGACATTGAGACCCCACTCTGACAGGAATCTCTCACATAGGCAGCCACAGTGGTTTAGCTCTTTGTACTATTGGTTCTCTTTCTTTAGAGTCTCACAGACCCTTCTCATAGCTCCTTCACATTTAAACCATTTAAAGACATATATATTGAACTCTTTACTCTTTAAGTTTCCACACAGACTCTGTCAGCTCACTCACTGACTGACTCACTCTAAATCTGACCTCTCCATAACTCAGATTCACTCAAACTGACTTCAAGACACACACATTCACTCCAAACATTTCCCACACTCTCCGTCCTCCACCAATCACAACACACTCGTCTCTCTTAATCACTCTACTCTACTAACACTGCACTCCAACCAAACATTTAAAGGAACACACACACAGTAAAACAAGGAATCATTACAGTCCCTGACATGATGACATCATTTCCAGGTGATGTCATCGCATCAGCAACATCACTGTTTGGGGCGGGGTCTTTACCATTGGCCGGCTGGCTGGCTGTGGGCAGAAGCCCCCCAAAATAGGGGATCCCCCACCCCTGCCTAGGGAATGAGAACCCTAGGTAGTATTCTGTAAGCCGCCCTGAGCCTGCCTTGGCAGGGAGGGCGGGATACAAATAAAATAATAAATAAATAAATAGTTCAATTGTATCCCCAGTCCATTATTATATTCCCAGTCCATTATTTAAAAATGGGATAAATTAAGGTCTTTATTTAATAAACATAATTTAATTTATTTTTAAAAATAAGCCTGACAATTCCCCTTTTGCTCCAATAATAAGCAGTTGTTTGGCAGTCTCGCAATGATTCCTGTGCTGGGGAATTGATTTTAATGGTTTTAAAATGTGATTATATCATGTATGTTTTTAAATTGTTAGCCACTTTGGTAGCCCGAGTAAGGGCAGAAAAGTGGAATATAGATTTTGCAAATAAATACGCAAATACAGCAAGCATTTAATCCAGGCAGCATCCTCGGTATTTTTCTTACGGGGAAACCTACAACTCAAAATGTATGGATCTGATAATAGACAGTTCCTTTGTTACTTAGGAGGAAAACAGATTAAAGTCTTAGAGGTAGAATCCATTTTGATTTCAGTACTTTGAAGTAAGGAATTGTATGTTAAGCGAACCTAGAGTTCAATTATTGTTATGAGAAACCTACTATAAAATATTATTGAGATCTATCTCTGGACAAATATCCTCTGCTAACAGAAGTGTTTTGCTGAAAAGGCTGATTTCCCCCCCATCTGTGATAGTGATATCCATCTATTCAGACTCAAAACTTTAAAATATTAACCATTATTTACCATACAGGGGATGGATAACAGTGATTAGTTGACACTGTTGAATATAAATGAGAATATGTCCTGTACTGTCAAGTTGCTCATTCTATATCTTATAGTGGTTACAAAGGCAGTACTAGTTTGATATTGGAGAAACCCTGAGTTTCCAGGAGCAGCTGATTAAAATCCTAAATATTGCCAAAATTGACATATTCACTGAAAAAAATTCATAGAATAATTGGATATGCTCTTCCACTTGAAGCAGAAGACAAATACATTATTTATCATATTTAAACACACTGAAGTTAAATAAGGCTGGATTGATTTTTCTCCCTGTACGTTTTAATTATCTCAGAATAAACCACACATTCAATTGTAATAAAAATCTTGGCAGAATTATAGCAGCCATGCAAAATGTGGAATATTTCCCTTAATGAAACTTTCCATATTTCAGTGTTGAAACAGATCTTTTTCTCCACAAGTAAACATATCATTTTGCTTTATTACAAATGTATATTGTTATGTTCTCGTTTAAAAATGTGTATTACAGAATATGTATTTACGAACAATACTGACCTCATGCCCATATCATTCTTGGCTGCTAGCCTAAATGTGAATCCCATTGCTGGGGACAGCTTCGTGATCTTGTACTGCTTCTGCTGACCATAATAACACTGCTCAAACTCTCTGTTTCCATTTCCCTAAAAGGAATTACAGTACAACCTTCCTAAGAAATTATTACATAAGTTTTAGAAATGAATATCACCTCACTATAAGCTGGAGAGGCCCAATGGAATAGAGTAATAAAAGTGGGGAACTAGCATGGACTTGAAGGCGGCATCTCATTTCCCCCTCCCCCATTATTTTCTTTGTTTCTTCCTTTAAAGCTCCCATAGTCTCTCCATATTACCTGCTCCTTCTCTCCTTTCCACCTACCTTTACCTGCCCCCCCCCTGGTCTTCAGCTTTCCTTCCTTCCCTCCCGCTGGCAGCCTCAACTCAGAAAAACCAGTTGCCCAGTGCCAACTGCTATGCTATCCCCAGTTGTTCAGTGCCGGCCACTGGGCTGGGCCCAGTTACACAGTGAGGAACCCAGAATGACATGTTGGGTTCTTCATTTTCCCCTGTATCCCCTTCCCCCACTATCTCCTCTTTCCCACCTCCTGGCAACTCCCAAGTAGCAAGGCTTTGCACATTTGGCATGGATGCCCCAGCCGTCGAGATGGGCATAGCAGTTAGGGACCTCAATTCCCTTGACATGATTGAGTGGATGAGGGAAATAGTGCAGCTGGTTTGGCCTGGCCAAACCGCAGACATCCTGTACATCATGGAGTGCCAGTCTCCAGGTGAAAATCCAGATGCATACATGGCTAGGAAAAAGACGGAATCTTCGGAGCTGTCAGTCATGGCCCAGAACCCCCATCTCTCCTTATATATAATTGAATAGTGGGTGCCAAAGTTCTAATTCTAAAATGCACTCCCTTAGTGTATGGCTGATGGCACTGCTCCTCAGCATGTATCGCCACCAATCAGAAGGCATAGCCCGGGTCCCGCCCACACCACAACTGCTGCGACAACCTGGTCTTTTGCATATGGAAGCTGATTGGACTTCACTCCATTCCACACCTCAAACTCCCCCCCCCCCCGCAAGGCAGTTGGAATGTCAGTTGCATATGGAATCTGCTGTATTCTGGTGGTGTGCAGGTCCCAGATTCATGTTTTAAAAGCAGACTGACACTGTTTGCCCAAAGCCAGAGCACTCTCCCAGAGCCTCTTTCTAGATCCCGTTGTATTTATTTCCACAACGGGCCTTATTTCTAGTTGGATTATAACCCTTGAGGTTAGAGGTGACCTCATACAGTTTGTACACTAGCAGGGTCACCGAGGAAAAGAGTTCTGTTAGATAGCGTCAAAAACACAGGTTGGTGGTCAGGTATATGCCATGACTTAGAACAGTGGGTAGGCAACTGTCTCTCCTGTGCCATGGTCAGTGCCAACCAAACTGGTGCAAAAGCGCCCTTCCAGCATCTGAGACTAGAGGGTATGTGGTCCCACTTTCAAATAGATTCCATAGGTCCTTTTCCTCCCAGCAACATTGTAATGCAAGCATAATGACATCAACAAATAATATTCAGATAATGTAGCAAAATGCAGAGACATGTTAATACTTTTGATATAACTAGAAAAAAATTCATGTTTGCTGGCAAAAAAACTTAAAACTATATGTTGCCATTTGCAAAGACATGGTTCTTTACCAAATATTTTAAGTGTGCTTACCTGGTCCCATTCTAAAAGATAATTGTTTATTTTAGAACCATTGTCACAAGGTGCCTGCAACAAAAAAAGGAGAGAATGATCACTAGCAGAGCATTCAGGGTGTTGCCCTTAAATTTATTTTCACATACCCAGCTCTCCCTTGGAGACGTTCAAAGCACATTACAAGGGACGACTAAGCAGTCTCCCATCCTTCAGCTGTCCCAAGAATGGCTTTGTTTTAGCAATAGTACACCTTCTACAATCTATCCAGTCCTTAGTATGGGCTCATATATTAGTCTATGGCAGGGGTCGTTTCGTAGAAAAAGAGCTAGGGGAACTCTTTAGCATAACTCATTAGCATATGCCACACCCCCTGACATCACCGGAAGTGTGTCATAAGGCCACACACCCCGCCCCCAACGGTCCCAGCCACCACCGGCGGCCTTGCAGCTCCACTGCCGAGCCCCATGAGGGGCCCGGCAGTGGACCTGCAAGGCCGGCGGGAGTGCAAGGAAACCCCACAAAGGCCCTCCCTGGCCCCAGGCAGGCAGGGGTGGGGAGAGGCAGGGAGGAAGCAACTTACCCTCCCTCTTCTCCTGCCTCCTCCTGGCTGAATGAGGGCCGGAAGCGGGGCGGCCCGAAGAAGGGGGCGGGGCTTCATCATTTGCCCCGCCTCCGTACCTCACCCGGGGAACTGCAATTCCCCGCGATCCCCCCCGAAATGACCTCTGGTCTATGGTAAAACCATAAAGTTTTTGGTGATTCCTAGAGCTACCCTATGTCACTTCCATTTTTTCCCCCTGGAAGTGAGGTAGCCGCATAACCAACATCGCTGGGGGCCTCGCAAGCCTAACCTCTGCAATGGGAGGTGGGAATTGGTAGATTCACTAGAAATCACCCCCTCTCCTCCACCAATGAAAACGCCTTTACACCAGCATGACTGCTGCTAGCATATGGAACAGCACCATTAGATTCAACTCTGTTTGGAATCTGTAATCCACCTTTGAATTTTAATGAGGAAGATGGATGATAAATGAAGTAAATAAATAAACAAATCCTATGTTGTACTGACACTACAGAGCAATTCAGCTGTGTAGTTTGAAGCCAACAGAAATGTAATATTGCCAGTTAAATAGTTAATGGCCTAATAAGTAATAGGAAAAAGCAGGAGTCATTTCCTGCAGGAGCACACAGGAGTGGAGCACATGCAACAAGCCCCACCCCCTGCTCCCAGCAGCCCTCAGAGCAAGAAGCAGCCAGGTAAGTTGCAGAGCTCCCCCCGGTCCAAAACAGTTCAGTGGCACCTTTAAGACCCAGTTTTATTCAGGTACAAGCTCTCCCTCCTCTGCAAGGACAGATCTGCACGTTCCTCCCGCCCTCCAATAGCTAGCAATCCAAAACAGTCCAGTGGAGCCTGAGCGGTGGGTGTTGCCTTCTGACACACTTCCGGTGATGTCAGGGGGTGTGGCATATGCAAATAAGTTATGCTAGTGAGTTATGCTAATGAGATCCTGCACCTCTTTTTCTACGAAATGACCCCTGGGGAAAATTCTTCCAAGTTATGGCATTCCATCGTTTTATTTACCTGAGCACCGTGCATTTAAACTTAATTATCCTTTTATGGTTCAAATTCTCCCAGTTTCCCCTGAGAAAAACATAAAGCAAATACTTTTATCCAGCCCGGAGCCAGGAATTTTTAATTCGAGGAGGCCTTTAAACAGGTCAGAGGGCACCCCCCGCACCCCCCCCCAAGTGAGTGCCATAAATAAAATTAAAAATTGGAAGTCAGGGGAGCCTGGGCTAGATGGGTGACAGAGTGTTGGACTGGATGGGCCATTGGCCTGATCCAACATTGGCTTCTCTTATGTTCTTATGGGAAGTCATGGGGCCCTGGTGGTAAGTCAGGGGGTCAGGCCCCGAGAGGCCCCACTGCAGCTACGGGCCTGCTTTTATCCACTTTCAGACAGTAAAACCCAAACTGCAGAACTCATTAGGACCAGACATTTTAAGGAATCAATAAAAAAGGCAACCTCAGCAAACTCTTCATCCCGATATTCACACAACCATTTTGATGTGAGGAAGTCACCTCAAGGTGGCTTTACCTCACAATTCTGGCACAGTGAATTGGTCTTGTGAATGCTCTGCCACATAGTGAGAATGCAAATCGCCAAATTCATCAGGATTTGGTAAATTTGCGATCTTGTCACGTGGTGGAGCATCACCCCAGGGCACGGTTTCTCCAGGACATAGTGTCCTTACCTCTAAGATGTGGCTAAGCTGAAATCTCATCATGTGGTGAATTCACAAGATTGCTTCACTACACCCAAATTGCAGGGAAAAAATCACCTCATGGTGAGTTTTCCAAGTCAAAAGTGGTCATGTGAACAAGGCCTTTGTTTGCCTCTCAGATGTGACTTCTTCCCAGAATTGCCTCGTCCTGTAAAAATGGAATGTATAGCCCAGGGTTTATTCAAAGGAAGCATAAAATACGTTATTTTGCAAAATAACAAGTTGATTTGGCAGGGGTATATTAACTCTTTAGCAATTGCTATATTATAAACAATAGGCAGGGCTACCGATATTAATAAAATGTTACATTTTGACAACTGAGACTTTGACAGACTCTTCTGCAAGTAGACAAAGTGAAATTTAAAATATCATTTACAATGTAGGAATTCTTACATGTTAGTACAAATAACTGGAATATTAACGGCCACGTAGACATGTTACTGCCTTTAAATTTTTTAGGTACACATTTGGTCCTCAATACTGATCCTGCAATTACGGTGTTGTAGGCAGGGTTGCCAGGTAGCCCCTGGCCATTGGTGGGGGATAGGGGAGTAGGGTTACCAGACCTAGGTTGGGAAATTCCTGGAGTTTTGGGGGTGGGAGGCTAGGGAGGACAGGGACCTCAGTGGGGTACAATGTCATACAGTCCACCCTCCAAAGCATCCGTTTTCTCCTGGGGAACTGATCTCTCTAGTCTGGAGGTGATATGTCATTCCAGTGGATCCCCAGGTCCCACCTGGAGGATGGCATTCCTTGTTGTAGGGGATGGCATCCCATGTTGTAGAGCGCCAAGACAAAAGCAGCACCCTGCATCATTGCCCCAGGCTGGTCACTGAGTCTATAAGGGAGCGAGAATTCACTTGTATCCAGAGTCCATCTGGGTTCACGTTTTTAAGAAATGTCCAGAAGAATCAGTGAACGGTCGATTTTAAATGAAAGTCAGGGTTATTTTTGGGCAGGAACGCACAGGAACGGAGTTCCGGCTGGCTCCCAAGTTGGCCATGCCCAGCAGGAGCTCATTAGCATAATAGGCCACACCCAACAGCAGAAATCCATTAGGATTGGCTTCATTAGAGGTGTGCGGCCTAACATGCAAAGGAGTTCCTGCTACAAAAAAAGGCCCTGGGTTTTGACAACAAACAAGGTAAACAGAATAACAAGCAAAAGGTGGGTGTGGCTGGGTAACCACACTTCTGGTAACATGGGGGTGCAGCATAATGTGCTAATGAGCTGTGCTGGCAGGGGTGCGGCCTAATATGCTAATGAGTTTCTGGTGTTGGGTGTGGCCTATTATGTTAATGAGTTCCTGCTGGGCTTTTTCTACAAAAAGAGCCCTGATTGAAAGTTATCTTCTAAAATATTATAACAGCTCAGCTGAGACATCACACAAAACCATTAACTGTGGTTTAGTCTGAATGTGGAAGGCTCCACTGTGTTTAGTTAGAGTCCATCCAACCAGCATAATAAAACCATGGTTTGGAGTTGGTTTGTTAGCCATGGTTGGTCTTAACTATGGCTTGGTGTGATGTGGCAATGTCCTGGTTTGTTCCCTAGCCCCTACCCTCCCTGGCTACAGAGCAAATACAACAAAACCAGCACTTGTTGAAGCAAACCAGGATATGAGTGGTCATCTGCAAGGTGAATCTTGCTTTCACAGGCAGCCATTGATAAAATAAAACAGTTTCACATTTGTGCCTGAAGCACACCCATAAATTTAACATAGGGTACCACATTAGAGCAAGCCGTTAGCTTAGCTGAAGACTGTATTTAAAGCACAGGGGAAAGATACAATTATAAACCTACTCATTGGGCATTTCTGCATTCTCATTCCAGGGCTCTTTTTGTAGCTTCCCTTGCTTCTAAGTTCTTATTGCTTTGTGGGGTTCCTGTTTCACACGCGTTTTGCTCTATCTCATGGACAATTCCGTATTATATTCAGGGCTATTTTTGGCCAGGAACGCACAGGAACGGAGTTCCGGCTGGCTTCAGAGTTGGCCATGCCCACTAGAGCCAAAACCTCTGTGTGCTTGGCTACAGAGGGAAGGCCTGGTGAGCGACCCCCCACCCACGACTTCAAGGCAGGCGGGCCAGTGGGGGCCCTGGAAGGATCGGGGAGGCATTTAAATGCCTCACCGTTCCTTCCCCAGCCTGTCCAAGAGCTGGCTTGCCTGGGCAAGCCAAGGGAAGGCAAGGGGTGTGGCCTAATATGCTAATGAGCCATTCTGTCAGGGGTGTGGTCTAATATGCTAATGAGTTCCTGCTGGGCTTTGTCTGCAAAAAAGCCCTGATTACATTGGTTTATGTCCAGCATATCTCCCTGCAGATTTAAACTGCAGGTTTTTATACTGGACAAAACCCAATATAATATCAAATTGATCACTAGAGGGAGCAAAACATGTCCAAAAAAGGGGGGGGAAACCCCAGAAACAACAGGAACTTGGAAGCAAAGAAAATGAGACTGGAGAAAAGCCCTTAAAATAGTTTTTTTAAAAATGCTTACCTTCCACTCTAAAGTAAGAGAATTTTTGGTCCGATGAATTATCTTTGGTGTATCTGGAGTATCGGGTTCACAGCTCATTGTTGTAAAACTTTCTGCTTCAGATGGAGTTCCTTTTATGGAGTTGCATTGTGCTAGAACTCTAGGGCAGCAAAAATAGTTCTCTTATTTTTTAAAAAACAACACCTAATCACACATTGCATATAAACTTTATTTTAAAAACCAAGGGAAACTGGGACGTTCTGTCCTGTTTTTGATTTCCTCTATTTCCTGAAATAAAACATAAAACAGGAAACTAAATTTCTTGTAGGAAATCATAATACTGAGGAAGAATATTACATCAAGCTAAAATACAATATTCTAGAACAATGATATGCTGTTACACATGGGCTTGGGTGTCATCAATATGCCGATGACACCCAGCTCTATCTGATGATGGGCGGCCAGTCGGACTCTGATCCAGAAGATCTGCACCGGGCATTGCAGGCCGTATCTGGATGGCTCAGGCTGAGCCGGTTGAAGCTGAACCCGGCGAAGACGGAGGTCCTGTGTCTGGGCCGGAACGGGAGGGGACTGGGGCTCCCGCTCCCGGCCTTCGATGGGGCGCCGTTGGTGCCAGCTTCGGAGGTTAGGAGTTTGGGAGTGCTCCTGGACTCCACCTTATCGATGGAGGCCCAGGTAGCAGCCACTGCCAAAGCGGCCTTTTACCATCTTCGGCTGGTGCGGCAGTTGGTCCCCTTTCTCAGCCGCGAAGACCTAGCCACAGTGATCCATGCGACGGTCACCTCAAGGCTAGACTACTGCAACGCTCTCTACATGGGGCTGCCTTTGTCGCTGATTCGGAGGCTGCAGCTAGTGCAGAATGCGGCGGCCAGGCTGGTTGCTGGCGTCTCGAAATGGGATCACATCCAGCCTGTGCTCAAAGCGCTGCACTGGCTGCCTATAGCATACCGGATTCGCTTCAAAGTGCTGGTGCTTACCTTTAAAGCCCTACATGGCCAGGGTCCAGCATACCTGAGGGACTGCCTTGCCCCACATAGATCCCAAAGAGCACTTCGGTCGGGGTCGCTACATCGCCTTGCAATCCCGGGCCCGAAAGAGGCCAGGCTTGCAGCCACTAGGGCCAGGTCCTTTTTGGTGGCGGCTCCTATCTGGTGGAATGAGCTCCCAGAGGAGATCAGGGCCCTGCGGGACCTGTTGCAGTTCCGCAGGGCCTGAAAGACGGAGCTCTTCCGCCAGGCTTTTGAATAGGAGCCGCCGCCGCTACCACCACCACCAATGGGGACCGTTTTCAGCACCGCCGGAGGTCAAGTGGCAAATAACATCAGGGGGCCACAGTAACCTCCCCTGATATGGAAAGGGTATGTGCAATATGGAGAGAGGGTTTTAGTCACGCGGGATCCTTGGGCGTGGCCCATGTATAAATTGTTTTAAACTGTTTTATTGTATTTTATTGCACTATGTGCCATATGGTTGTAAGCCGCCCTGAGCCCGTACGCGGGGAGGGCGGGGTATAAATAAAATTAAATAAATAAATAAATAATGCCACGTTAGTTATGCCAGGGAAACATCCTAGAATGACTGGCATGTCTTGGGGTGATTTTTCACTCAGATTGCACTAATTGCATGTGAATAACGTGGAAGGGATGCAAGAGCAGTTAACAGGTGCTTCCAGGGCTGTCCATTATGGCATCCTCACCCTCCATTTTGCCCAGTGGAAGGCCAAGAACAGCAATAGAATCTATGCAGAAGGAATGTTATTAGAAGTTTATTAGAAGTTGCCTAGAAATCCAAGATTTCTTCCTGCTTCTTCTACATAAATGCTAACTGCTTCTTCTAACATAAATGTTAACTATGGCAATATTAACGGAACAAAATTATTGTGTTTTGCATAAGGAAGAAGACTACTGCAAATCATAATGCCTTTGAAATCACATCTGACCGCTTTTATCCATCCGGCATTAAACAGAGATCTTCAGTGCATGCATTTCACGGACAGGTAACAGTTATTTACCTTGCGTGATAATCTGTTGCTGGTGTAAGATCATTTATCATGAAATACGTTTTTTCACCTCTGAAAAGAAATGACAGTTCGGTTTAATAGGTGCAGACACACGCACAAGGAAAACTGCAGTGTTGATATAACTGCTGCAATAAGTTTCATAAGCAGGGCATATTTTTCTTTTCAAAAAATTATGTTTATTGCCTCTTTTGCATTCGTATAATAAAAACAGTTCTCTCCTTAATTCAACTGCAGCTGTACAATTGCCATAAAGTTTTATCTCTGGTATTCTGCACCAGACAGTAGAAAAGAAACAAAGATACAGCTTATTATTTACACCAGCTTGGCTTTCACTCACCCCTCTTTGCCCTCTTCTTCTGCACTGCCACAGTGAACTGTCTGGGTGCCATTGCTGACCCCAACAGAATTGATTTGTTTTTTAATAAAACAATCAATCAGGGGCAAAGTAATTGTGCTGCTACTACCTAATGTAGTGACAATACAAGTGGCTAGTGATTTTCTCTGTGGTCTCAATTGGCATCTGGAAAGTTCCTGAAGCACTCTCTCCCTATCCCCAAGCAGCAGGGGTCGTTTCGTAGAAAAAGAGCTAGGGGAACTCATTAGCATAACTCATTAGCATATGCCACACCCCCTGATATCAGGGGCCCGGCGGTGGACCAGCAAGGCTGGCGGGAGTGTGAGGAAGTCCTGCCAAGGCCCTCCCTGGCCCCAGGCAGGCAGGGGTGGGGAGAGGTGGGGAGGAAGCAACTTACCCTCCCTCTTCTCCTGCCTCCTCCTGGCTGAATGAGGCCAGAAGCGGGGCAGCCGGAAGCAGGGGGCGGGGCTTCGTCGTGTGCCCCGCCCCCAGCACCTCACCCGGTGGGACTGTGATCCCCCGCGATCCCCCCCGAATCGACCTCTGCCAAGCAGTAGGAAGCTCATTAGTCTTTTCAATAAGACAGGAAGCTGTGTTAGTCTGTCTGTAGCAGTAGAAAAGAGCAAGTCCAGTAGCCCCTTAAAGACTAACAAAATACTTGGCAGGGTAGGAGCTTTTGTGAGTCACTGCTCACTTCTTCAGAACTGTATGAAGAAGTGAGCAGTGAAGAAGTGGTCTGAAGAAGGGAGCCGTGACTCACGAAAGCCTGTACCCTGCCACATATTTTGTTAGTCTTTAAGGGGCTACTGGACTCTTGCTCTTTTCTAGTCTTTTCAATGTAGATGACCACAATGGAACACCCAGTTGTTACCGGAACTCCTTCTAAGGATCTGGTTCCGTGGCCCAACTCTGTCTTCTGTATGGCAGTGGGCTTGCGTGAGTAATTATCCGTGTATACAGAGGGCAGATTCAGAAGTGAACGCTCCTATTTCCCAGGAATCGAGACAACACACTAGGTTTAATGAATAAATGTTGCCTTTACTAGATATTTCTCAAGCACACCAAAAACTGATACACTCACAGACTCAATCAAGTTTCCTCTTAGTTTACAGTAGGTATGGAAACAAATAGTAATAAATATAATAAATCAACAGACAATGAGGTAACACACAGAAGGGTTGCGCTTATACTTATCTGACTTCCAGTCAGGAGGAATTCTTCTCTCAGCAGCACAAGGGGAAACTAAAGTACAGACTTTAGGGACCCTATAAACACACGGAATAGACCAGCTAAAACACGTGTGGGCTCTCTGGTCGCGACTCCAGAGAACTCTCTTAGAATCACCAAGTGAAGGTAGGGGTCAGCTTCTCCAGAGAAACAAAGACTGCGTTTCTCTTTTTAAAACCTTAGTTTTGGGGGTTGGCATAAGGCCAATCTACACCTAAAATCCGTCCCCTTCTCTACCCTATAGGTTGACGGGTTGTGACGGTTCACCTAGAGGGGAGTGGGGCGATATTCAAATTCTAAGCCTACCTTCAAAGGGGAGCCATGTGGCAAGGTGTCAAAGTTGCATTCCCATAGCAACCTTTGACTTGCAGATCGATGGCTTGATCCAAGAAGGCAATAACAGGATGTTGTTCTTGTGATGCAGAACCAGATAGATGGGGTTACGGGCTATTCCAGGAGACCTGCAGTGGTGGAAAGCTGTTGTTTTTCCAAGTCTCCAAAGCTGAGCTTAATGGCGATGGTCTTCTTTGTCCTCAAGCATTTCGGGAAAGCTTTGGGTATGCACGTGTCCATTAGCATATACAACACAAGCCCTGCACACAGCAGCTTTCAGGTGCAGCAGGAAGGCAAATCTAAGACACAGCAATTCCCATATTCCACAAGCACAAATGCAAAGACATTTTTACAGACAATACAGCATCAGCATAAAAAATAAATAATACATTTAAAGCACACATGGTAACACAGTACCTTTCAGCAATTAGTATTACAAAGGATCTAAGTGTCCTCTTGTTATTAAGCAGTGCTACTGATAACAACAAAATCCAAAAAACCTGGATGGAGAATCATTATGGTGGTGATATGACAACAGATGGGGAGGGGGTGGAATCCTCATCTAGCAGGAACAGGAAACCACAGCTAACAGTGGTGAAAAACCAGATTACCCTGTACCACTTGTGTGGAAACTCTGTTTCCTGTGTAAATTTGAGCAACATTTGCACTGGCAACGTGACTGACTCAAAAAAAAAAAAACAACATCAGGAATACAGAGAGTGGGGTCTGTGACAGGCGTTTTGACCTCATGGTGACTGGACTGCCTGGTTTGAAGGTTGCAGACGTCACACGCTGTCTAGATAGGTTAATAGATAGTGCTGGGGAAGAGTCAGCAGTCACGGTGAATGTTGGCATTAATGACATTGGGAAATGTAGTTGTGTGGTCCTGGAGGAAAAAATTAGGTGACGCGGCAGAAAGTTAAAGGCCAGGACCTCACAGGTAGCATTTTCAGAAGTGCTGTCGGTTCCAGGAGCAGGACCAGCTAGACAGGCACAGATCAGGGGTTACAATGCACGGATGAGAAAGTGGCGCAGGGAGGAAGGGTTTAAATTTGTTAGGCACTGGGGAACTTTCTGGGACAAGCTGAACCTGATCAAATAAGTTAGAAAACATCAGGGGAATTAACTCCCCAACAGAAGCAATAGGGGTAGAAATACTGGGTCCTAAGAGTTACATAAAAGTAGGGGTGTACTATCGCCCACCTGATCAAACCCTTGAGGCTGCTCTTGAGATGGAGAAGGAAATGAGGGAGGGGACTAAGGCAGATAATGTTATTATACTGGGAGACATTCTCATGAAGCGGTGCAGCATTAACAAGGGGAAGAAGAGATTGGATTTATACCCCGCCCTTCACTACCCAAAGTTGTCTCAGAGTGGCTTACAATCTCCTTTCCCTTCCCCTCCCCACAATGGACACCCTGTGAGGTGGGTGGGGCTGAGAGAGCTCTTGACAGAAACTGCTCTTTTTCAAGGACAGCTGTGCCAGAGTTATGGCTTGGCCAAGGTCATCCAGCCAAGTGCAAGTGGAGGAGTGGGGGATCAAACCCGGTTCTCCCAGATTAGAGTCCGCACACTTAACCACTACACCAAACTGGCTGGGAACACCAGCAATAAGAGACTGCTCCCCCCCCACACACACACACTGTCTGACCAGTTCTGGATTCCTCCTGTGTGTTTATCCTCCAGGTGTCCCTCGATTCCCCCTGCCTTTTGTGCTATACAGGAATCTAGGACTAAAGATAAAGACAACTGTTGCACAAAAAGTTGTCTTTCCCAAGTGGTATATTTCACTTTGATTTGAAGCCATGAAGATTATAGTGGCCCACCTCCCACATAATAGTTGATCAAATATATTACGGTAGCATACAACCACTACCTCCACAAACCCCTGGTATCAAATAAATTATTTTAAATGAATTCACAGGTTCCACCCCCCAACCCCACCCTGTCCCGCCATGAACTGGTCTCCCCAAAAGATTCAATGCTAAATCCAAGTTGGGACATAATTCAAAGTTGTGTCTGTGTTGGTCTGTTGCAGGACAACCAAAATGGAGTCTTATGCCACAGATTTATTATAACATAAACTTCATGGGTAGAATCTTATTTTATTAGGTTTATATGGCCACACATGTGGCTATAGAAGAGAAAAAACGTGAGCAGGAAGATAAAAAACCAAGAAATGCAAGTATAGTTGGTGACATTTCCGTACCAAACTCCAAAGTACAAGATAAGCACAGAGACCATTCACGACAGCTGTCGAAGCGCTGGTTAATAAATTATGCCTTTTGTCGAGCTCTAATTCAGCATGCAATTCTTTATTCAACAATTATCAGTGCTATAGTAAATCTGCTAATCTTTGAGATGCAAGAAAACTCCTTTTTATTCACAAAGGCGGGCGGTTGTAACACTCATTAAAATGCATTCTGCCACCGAGCTAGGATCCCTTTCAATGATCCAATACTACTTATTTAATATGAAGGAAATTTTTTTAAATTATATTTCAGGAAACTGTAGGGTATTTCTTATGTGTTGTTCTGTTCAGAAACTGACCAAATATGTACGTGTAAAACTGTACTTCCTTAGGGAGACAAAACATCTTGAAGCAGCCCGGAGGTACGAGGTCTTTTCAATCAGGGATGATGTCTGACTAAGGACCAGATGCCATCAGTCTGAGGACCATTGTTCTAGGCTGTCCATTACCCCATTATCTCCAGAGCTAGTTCATATGTTACTCCAAACAACTACTGGCCTTTTTACTGTTCATTTAGGGTTCCCAGACCCTTGCCAGGGGCGAGGGAACCCCTGCTTTTGCAGGGTGCTTCCCTGCCGCTGGCCAGAAAATCTCACCCCCAACTGGCCCAAAAGTCAACGTGGTGACCTTACCCGGAAGTGACATCATCATGTTGCTGATGTCACGCGGCAGCGTTCTAGTTTTTGGGCAGAACTCTATGGTGAAATTGGCTACAAACCATACAGTTTTGCCCAAAAACTAGAGCACCACTCCTCGATGTTGGTGACGTGATCACGCCACTTCTGGGTTACGTCACTGCACTGCAGGCGCTATATTCATTTGAGAGATATAATATTGATGAATGGAACACTGAGAAGACCACAGACCAGCTTGCCTTCCTCGTTGATAAAACAGAAATGTTGGAAGTGAAAGACTTTACACTGTCTCCTAGAATCAGACTTCAGAAGGAGACTATAGAAAGTCAGAGAGGTACATAGGTCAGGCCCAATGCTCCCTCTAAGCTGTGGAGTCTTGTGAGCGAAAATTCTGCTTTGTGAGCTACTGGCGTTAAAGCTGTGAGCGAGTGATTTGGCTGCTGCATAACGTAGTTTGCTCTGGAGCCATCCTTCCTGAGCTGAGACAGAAATGTGTGAGCTGGAGGTTAAAAAAACTGTGAGCTAGCTCACACTAACTCAGCTTAGAGGGAACACTGGTCAGGCCCCTGAACATCCTTCTTTTCTACTGCTCTGATGCCATCCCTTTGATGTGTAGATTGCTATTTTCAGGGAATATTCCTTCCAGCCGATCCCCCCCCCCCTCTCTTTCTTCTTCTCCTCCTCCTCCTCCTCCCTCCCTCCCTCCCTCCCTCTCTCTCCCCCCCCCTCCATCTTGCAACTGTAAGAGCAGGACACGCTTCCTGCATCTCCATCCATCCTAGAATCCTATACTGTCTAGAACGGAGTTCCTTACAATACAGGACACATATTAGTTTGCTAAGATTTAAAGTCTCTATGTGTAATTCCTCAGCAGCATGCACTCACATCAGGTAGTTCTGCTGCTCGTGTACCTTGAGCACTCTGCTAATATATTCTGACAGACACTATATGCTAGTGGAATTTCTGAGCTATTCTTAGCATTACTGTGTTGAAAAGAATTAGAAATCCTTTTAAAACTATCTAAAGAGTGATAGGAACATACAATAATTTATGAGATGAGGGTGTGGTTATAGGGTCACCAGCTGCAGATGGCAAAGCCCTGGGAGAAACAGGGGGGGGCAGCCAATGCTCCCTCTAAGCCACTGGTTCCCAAAGTGGGCAATACTGCCCCCTGGGGGGCACTGGAACGATCCAGGTGGCCGGTAGGAGCCTTGGGTGCAATTGGGGGGGGTATTGAATAAAAATAAGGGGGCGGTGGAAGCATAAAGAAGGAAGAGTCCAGAACCTATCTAAAGCAGCCTTTTCTTGCCTTCTCCTGGTCTTCCCTGTGATCAGGGAGGGAGGTGGAGCCAATCACAGCTGCATGTGCACCCTTGTAAGACTGGTGTTGCTGCTGGGCTGCTGTCTGGTGGATGCTGCTGGTAGGGATCCCAAGTCCCCCCGGGGGTGCGGGGAAACCCCCGCCCCAGAGGCCCGTTCCTCGGCGCCGCCGGATCTGGCCCCGGGGAGAACTCCGCCCCGACGTGCGCATCACCCAGAAGTGACGCAGGTACGCCGGGCACACTGGGGGTGGGGCCACAGCCATCCAAGGGAAAACTCTATGGTTTCCCCTTGTATGGCCATGGCCCCGCCCCCAGCGTGCCTGGCGTCCTCCCATCACTTCCGAGTGACGCTCACGCGCATGCACACAAGACACCGGCCGGGAGCCCCCCGCTCCCAGCGAAGATACACTTGGCAACCCTAGCTGCTGGCCTCTGGCTTCAGGCCGACAACATCTTTCTTTACTTACAACAACATCTTTCTGTACTATGTGCAAATTTGTCACTGCATCTTTTTGTCCACTTCTTGAAGGTGGATTTCCAGGGGGGCGCTATTTTTTTTTCCCCTGAAAAAGGGGCGGTAGGCCAAATAAGTCTGGGAACCTCTGCTCTAAGCTGTGGAGTCTTGTGAACAAAAATTCTACTTTGCGAGCTACTGGGATTAAGGTTGTGTGAGCGAGCGATTTGGCTGCTGCGTCAAATAGTTTGCTCTGGATCCATCCCTTCCTGAGCTAAGAAAGAAACTGGGCCGGAAACTGAAAAACTGTGAGCTAGCTCACACTGACTCAGCTTGGAGGGCAGACTGGCAGGGACACACGTGATGGTGCTGTGACAGTGAGCATAATCACTTTCAGTGTCATCACATTGGGGTTTTAGGATTTGCCCAAAACATGATGGTTAAATCATAGAATTTGAGGGTGAATCAGGCCCGTAGCCAGGATTTTTAAAGTCAGGGGGCATTTAAGTTTCTTAGGGGGCACTGGCTAATTGAATTAAAGGAACACCCAGCTCCTTACCCACACCTGCCTTCGCTGAGGGGCCCTGGGCTGGATGGGGAGTCAGGGGGCCTAGCCCTGAGATGCCCCACTGTAGCTACAGGCCTGGGGTGAATCCTAGAGCATTGCCCCTGATGTGATGCCATCATTTCTGGTTGGTGTCAGAAGTGAAGTCATGTGCTGGCCTGGTGTAGGAGTACCCCCCCCATTTCCGGCCGTTGTGCTCCTGCCAGCCTGTGAAGTGCTGGTGGGGGGCTGGGGAAAATTCCTAGGACGACTCCTGCTGTAGTTGGGCGACCTGGGAAGCTTATTAGAGGACTGAACCACTCAGGCTTCTTGTTATTTAGAACTTCTTCTGCTTTTTAGAATTTCTGCCACATCCAAAGGCCGTCAATCCCTGAATACCTGTGGGACGAAAAAGCATCAGGGCCTTGGCCTCTATGTCTTGTTTCTTGGCCTTTCCGGGTTAACTGGCTAGCCACTGTGTGTAACAGGATTACTGGACTAGATGGACCCCTGGTACGATCCAGCAGTGTTTCTATTACGTTCCTATGTTCATTTCCTGAAAACAATTGAGACCTGTATGACACTGTTGGAGAGCCAATCCCAAATAGAGCTCAGATAAGGTTTTAAATATGTTCTCTTTTTTAACTCATTAACTTTTAATTAATATTTTTTAAAAATTAATACAGCTTTATAAAACAGCAACATTCAAAATTTCCATATCTGGTGGAGAGTATTACAAGAGTAATAGGTGTTGAAGGTATCAATATAACTTTTGGAACACATAGTTCGTTATACTTCTTGTATAACAAGAGATAAACTGACTAAAGACTAAAGAGTGCTAACTTAGATGTATTATAGGGTAATTTTATCTGGTATATCGCTTAGTTCAGTGGTACACAACAAGTGTAATTTAAATATGTTCTTAAATGTGCCTCTTCTATTTTTCTTTCTTTCTTTTTAAAGTTTCCTTAAGCAGATATATGGAAATGTGGGGTACCGTTTCAACGACCTAAACAAGACCAATAAATAATTATTTTTAAACTGCTTCATCTTAATTCAAATACGGAGCAATAAAGTCAGTTTCCTCTTGCAGGCAAAGTTTTGTTTTTAAAAAAAATTAAAATAATTTAAGGCAGCAGTGGCCTCATGGAGAGAATACCTACATATAAACAGATGTGTATTTCCCGTCTTCTCCACAGTTTGAAATCAGCACTTCGTAAGCATAAACCTCCGACTTGTCTTTGTCTCCCCCGATGATTCTGCAGGGAGGGGACCAGGTGAGCTCTGCCTTCCTTGCCTGAATTTCTTTGACCTGCAGGAAAATAGCAGATCCAGAGTTGTAAGCTTCATGCAAAAAGCAAGTAGACACTGACATTTAATAAAATACTAACATTTCTGAAGAATTACCCAACAATTTCGCAATATTTAGTGTACAAACTGAACCCTACTTTGTTAAACCATGCTAAAGATGTTTCCTCTTACTGAATTTGGCACATCGTTTAAGAGCCAGGAAATCATAATTGCAACCAAAGGAAGATAACTAAGCAAAAAGAGCCCTCTAGTGGTATAAGACTGACTTAGAGTTGCCAGAGCTGGGTTGGGGAATACCTGAAGATTTGGGCGGGGGGGGGGGGGTAGAGCCTGGGGACAAGAGGATTTGGGGAGCGGAGAGACCTCAACAGGTAAAATGCCACAGGGTCCACCCTCCAAACCAGCCATTTTCTCCAGGGGGGACTGATCGCTGTTGTCTGGAGATCAGTTGCAATACTAAAACACGTAGGTGAACAGGTAAACATGGTTTACAATTAGTGATCAAGTGCAACCTTAAGTTTGGAGATTCCTGGTCATTGTTTCCCAATAAAGCTTTCAAGGACATACCAAAGACTTTTCTTAAGCAATTTGATAGTCTTCGCTTAGTTGTTTTCAGAGCACAGCCATGCCGGTGTGCGGTAGAAGAGCGAGATTTGAGTCCATTGGCACCTTACAGGCCAACAAATTTTCAGGGCAGGGGTCATTTGGGGGGGGGACGCGGGGGGATTCCATCCCCCCGGGTGAGGTGCGGGAGGGCGGGGCCTGGAGCTCCCTGCTGGTGCCCACTGGAGGTCGCCGCCGGCTATGGGGAGGACAGGGGGTGTGGCATATGCTAATGAGTTATGCTAATGAGTCCGCCTAGCTCTTTTTCTACAAAATGACCCCTGTTTCAGGGTATTAGCTTTTTGAGAGTCAGGGCTCCCTCTGTCAGATACAAAGGGAGTTTTTATTCTCAAAAGCCTCTCTCCCGAAGATCTTGTTGGTCTCTAATGTGCCGGACCCGTATCTACCTCTTGACTTAGTTGATCCATGATGATTTTTTAAAAACCTTGCTGCAAATATTTTCAGTGTATCACATTACTCACGAGTTATTTCTTAGTTTCTCCTGTGCTGATGCTCATGCAGCTTGTCAGCATCAGCACCGAGCCAAGGGTGCCTACTGTTCATGTGCCAAGAATAACTTGACGGTTTTGTGATAAAATGTATTTTAGGCCATGGAAAGAGCAAGAGTCCAGTAGCACCTTAAGGACTAACAAAATTTGCCACGGATATCTGAAGAAGTGAGCAGTGACTCACAAAAGCTCCTACCCTGCCACAAATTTTGTTTACTGCTACAGACAGACTAACCCATCTTGATCTTTAGGCAATGGAGAATGAGTCATATGATGCTTCATAACCAAACAATGCTAGAAGAGATCTGACAGTGACTAGAGATCTAATTAATGGCATGGAGGTAAAGCATATATATGGGGCATATTGTTAAAAAGCTGAAGTTAAGGGAAAAAAGCATATTTTTGAACAGCAGTTGTTAAAGTAAGTTAAAATTTAGAACTGGAATGTAAAAAAAATGAGAGATCCATTAATTCATGATAAAGCAGAATGTTGTTTTTAAAAACCTGAATTTCAAAGGATGTAAAAAACGCAGATCATTAACTTTTACAAAAGTTTTGAATTTGTGCCATCTAAGCTCCTCGCTAGACTTATGGCCCATGAATTCTGATTCCCCAGATCTAGAAATTTCAGAACACTGTAAAACATTTTAGAATAAATTTATCAACCAGATTCACCTTATGCAGAGTAGGTCAGTGATTTTCTAGCTATATGACATTTTCTTATATGGTCTAGGCATCATGCTTAGAGACAGATATAACAAGAGAGATCACAGGGATTATTAGGAATCTAAAGTATAATAAAACTCCAGATCAGTCCAAGGAGAATTTTATAAAGACTGTTTCAGAGAGCAATCCTAAAGAGGAATAATCCATAATCCTAGTTAGGTGTAGGGGTTTACTCTTAGGAAAGTGTTCTTAAGATTGCTCTAAATAGAAGCTATATACTGATGGTCCCCAAGACAGGGAAAGATAGTCAGCATATGTCCATTTTAATTGTCCCATATTTTTTTTATTAAACCAGGTCTTTAAAATATTGGCATCTATTACAAATAAAGTAATTTTTAACTATGGGAAATCATACCCACCAGGCAATGTGCATTACTTTCTCTGGATGTGGGGGAAAAAGCACTTAAGCATGTTGAATGTTCACTTTTATAGCTGATATTAGGTCATGTTAACCTGAGTAGAATGGCTCTTTTTGATATATGATGAAGTTGTCACCCAGATTTCCAACCAGTTTTAAACTGCAGGTTTTTATACCAGACATACAGCAATGTAATATCAAATCCACCCCTAGAGGGAGCAAAACACATGTGGAACAGACACACACACACCGAAAAAACAACAACAGGGACACATCAGCAAGGAAAATGAGCATGCCCTTTAAGGTGGAAAAGCTGTAAGAGTTTCTGCCAAAGAACTACCTATGCAAAAGATATGTAGGGGAATGGTTACACCAAATATCACATTATATTATCAAGCAGGTAGGTTAGTGGCTATAAAATATTGGAGTTGGCTAGATAATATTGTGAAAGGAGACCAAGAGATTTTAAAACAGGTTCTGAGTATCTTAATCTGATTATATTGAGAAGGTGGGATAATCTATGTAACGTATCAATATTTTTTTCATTGACTGTTTGGTATAAACTGAAAAGTGCTTTCTCCCGGGCTGTTCCGACCAGCATGTATTTATAAAAACGAGTAGCCATGTTAGACTGTCTGTAGCAGACTACTATCTGAAGAAGTGAGCAGTGACTCATGAAAGCTCATTGGCTGCCACGTATTTTGTTAGTCTTTAGGTATGTATTTGTAATGAACTGTTACTATATTTGGTATACTGGGCAAAGTATATTTAGTTGGCATAGGATGGATTTGAATGTGCTGGAGAAGGTTGTTAATGCAAACAGGGTTTTATCATATGTTCAAGTAGATGACAGACTGGGATATTTTAGATCCTCGTTCTGATTTTTCCCAATATTGTGGCTGATTTGACATAGAAAGAAAATTGCTTCAAGTGACAAAATTTCTTTTCAGTTCTTGATAGAGGCTATAAATATTAGAGGTCTGATTGGCAATATATTAAAATTACTGATAAATTTGAAGCATACTCCAGGAAATTTTTAGGGGGGGGAAACGGGTAAGGCGTTTAGGTATGGGATGTCAAATGAATGGGCTATGGCTTTGGACAAAAAGTGCAGATAAAGTAGTATCAGTTAAAGCTCTTATAAAATACAGTGTTAATGCCATTTAACTGAGTCTTGTATGTAACACAGTTCTAGATGTTTGCTGGAGGTACAAAAGGAAGCAAGCCGATTTTCTGCTTATTTTTGATCTTGCTCTAAGAAATTCTGAAGATGATTAAAGAGATGGCAATGTTTTTCCATTGGATCCTAAAGTTGGAATTGGGTTTAAATCGGTTAATGGCCGCTAAGATGTCACTTTCTTCATACTGGAAGATGTCAGTGATCCCTCACCCTTAGTGAAATGGTTTGGAAGGTTTTAGGATGTGTTTTTAATGTCAAAAGGAATGGAAGATCAATTGGATAAATTCGGGGAGAAAGATGTTAGCATCCCCTTTCTGCCTGTTTATGACTCTTATTTTTTTTTGTGTGTGGCGTTTAATGTCTTTCTTTTGTTTTAACATATTCTCAACAAAATAAAAGTGTTCTCATAAGAAAGGATTAATCTATTTTATATCAGTTACATATTTAAGATATTCATTTCCTACGCCTTGAACACAATGGGACCACAAGGCAGCTTATAAAAGTTTAAAATCACAATAAAAAAGGAGGGGAAAAAAGGAGACAAAATGAAATCCAGAAACAGCCAACCTGAGGAGATGTGGGTGGGCTGGAAGGAAGGCACAGGCAGGGATCCTGGTGGTAGCCAGAGGAGGAGAGAGGACCCCCTAGACATTCTTTAGGATTCTCTGCCTGCCCCCCCCCCAAACCTTGAACTGGCCCTGCCATCCCTCAATAATTCATTAACTGGACTAGACAAAGTCAAATGTCCTTGAAAACGAGATCTTTGAGAACTCTTTAGGTTAAGCATCAGATTCTTACCGTAGGCTTGCTGACGTTAGAAAGAAGAGCTTCAAATGCTTTCCTTTCTTCATCCTTTTCTTTAAAAACAAGAAGAACCCCCCCACCCCAAGAAAGCGATGCACATTCAGTACTTCCACAATAGAGTAGCTTTAAAAATCTCTCAGTAAGTAAACTGAAAAGTGGTCATTGATGGTGTATTTGATAATAACAGCAAAATACGGGCATGCATATTTTTATGTATTTGTATAATTTTCTTTCTATTAAATTGCTGAGCTCTTTTAAAATGGAAGTTGTAAATTTATCTGTCTGTCTGTCTGTCTGTCTGTCTGCCTGCCTGCCTGCCTGCCTGCCTGCCTGCCTGCCTGCCTGCCTGCCTGCCTGCCTGCCTGCCTGCCTGCCTGCCTGCCTGCCTGCCTGCCTGCCTGCCTGCCTGCCTGCCTGCCTGCCTGCCTGCCTGCCTGCCTGCCTGCCTGCCTGCCTGCCTCATGCATTTCAATGAAAACAATCCAATAAATAGCAATGGATAAAAACAGTATATATACAATGCTTATGATGGCGGAAAATCCTAGTTCCCTGGCCTCCCGGGGGTGTGTGTGATTATGAGGAATGGGGAATTATGTAAGGGTGCCAGTAGAAGTCCCATCGCTGTCCTTTACTGAGGTGACTTCTGTGTAAATGCATTCATTAATTAGGATACCTTCTACTCAAATCTATTCTATTTTTAATATTAATAATATTAATAAAAATATTAAGAAAATTTCAGTTTTTAAAAAATACTCCTCTTTCTCATAGTCATGCTTTGAACATCCTCCCCATCATTCATTTATACATATCTTTTCCTTAAAACTACAGGATAAAGCAGCTGGTAAATATAATTTTAATCAATGCTTTGTTCCAAATAGTTAATGTCCTGAGGTACTCCAACCCATGACTAGACGGAATCATTATTAATTGTGGATTCTTGCTTACCTTCTACAGAGTTGCCTTTTCTTTCCCCCGCATGGTTACTCCTTGCATATCTTACACTTATGTCACTTGCGTCTTGTCTTGCTGCAAATCCATTGTACCCATTGGTGGGAGAAAGGCATTTCTGAGGTGATGAGGAAGGACTGTTTAATTTATCGTTCTGTGTACCTTGCCGATCCTTCGCCTTTTTCTGTAATCTTTCATGTGCTTTACTAGATCGCTCATCTCTAAAAGTGGACCTTCCATGGATTGATACTGTATCTAGAATAAACCCCCAAATAAGATAAAAATAAGATAAAGAACATGCAATCATTTGCGAATGCATTCTGTATTTACACCAAAGTGTGTACTTTGTAATGGAATAGTGAAAATATATCTTGTTAGAGACTTCACCCATAACATACTAGATAACCCTGCTGAGGATCTGTATGTATTTTCCTGATGACTCCTCAACTGCAGAAATGTGCACCTATGCACTTAACTTTTTTTCTCCCCAGTGTGCATGTTTAACAGATGCATGGGAATATTAGTATCTTAGGTACACTGTTGTCCCTAAGGCACTGAACTGCAGAAGTGTGTAGCTAGTGAATTAAGGATTCCTCTGGTGATTGTGAACACAATGTAGACACCAGGGAAACAAGGAGGATTGTCTGTAGTTACTGGCATGTACTTTATCACCTCACTGAGCAAAGTTTGAAGTCTTTCTCCCTCATAAGAACTCTTGAGAGCCAGTTTGGTGTAGTGGTTAAGAATGCAGACAGATGAGAAATAACCTCAGATGCCTAATGAATATCCTTGAATACTACGAAATACATCATGTTAAGCAATTAGCTCTGGTATTCTTGGATGCAGAGAAAGCATTTGACAATGTTACTTGGCCATTCATCATAGAGACATTGAGAATGGTGGAAGCAGGTGAAAACTTTATTAAGATGATTCAAGCTATATATAATGAACAAAGAGCAAGAGTAATGGTGAATGTCGAACTGACAAATAGTTTTAAGATTCAAAAGGGGACTAGACAAGGATGCCCTTTATCGCCTCTTATATTTATCCTAGCCTTAGAGGTATTAAACAATGTAATAAGAAGGGATAAAGAGATTATTGGATTAAAAGTGAAAGGAGAAGAATACAAACTATTAGCTTTTGCTGACGATATTGCATTTATTATGGAACAACCGAAGGAAGTAGCCGTTAAGCTAAAAGAAAGGATTGAAGAGTATGGTCAAGTAGCGGGACTGAAAATAAATGTCAACAAAACTAAGATTCTGACAAAAAATATGGATGTGAAACAAAGAGAAAAGCTATATCAAATTACTGGATTTCAAATAGTTGACAAGGTAAAATACCTGGGGATTACAATCACTAATAAGTGTAGTTCTCTTTTTGAAGACAACTACAAAGTACTATGGGAAAAAACTAAACAAGACTTAGGCAGTTGGAAAAATTTACAACTATCCATGATGGGAAGAATTGCAGTAATAAAAATGAATATATTACCCAGATGGATGTTTCTTTTTCAAACAATCCCCATTTTACAAAACCAAAAGATTTTTAATTACAGAAATATTTTAAGCAGCACTGGCTAAGAGCGGCTTTATTAAAAGTATGGGATCCAATCTACAGAAGGTTCTATATTAAAAAATCGAGACTTATAGTACCATTGGAAGCATTTACCTTGCCAAATGTCTTTACGGGTGAAGAGCTACTTAGATATCAAGATATTTTAGATGAGAAAGATTGCTTGAAATTGCCAGAACACTTGTCTTGGTGGAATAAAACCCAATTAGAATCTATCTATAATAAAGATAAAAAGACTGGTTTTAATGACTAACTGAATTAGGAATAACTTGTATTTTCGGATGAAAAACTGATAAAGAAAATCTATAAAATTTTGGTAGAGGATTTGTTGTTAGATGAAACAGTTAAGCAAAATATGATTTTGTGGGCTCAAAATGTAGGTCATAATATTACCTGGAGAGAGTGGGACCAGATATGGTCTAAAAACATTAAAATGACTACATATAAAGAAAATATGTATAAGATGTTTTATAGATGGTATATTACACCAGATAAGCTGGCTAAGCAGAATGAAAATTGTTCAGATAAATGTTGGAAATGTAAAAATAAGACAGGTACATTTTATCATATGTGGAGGCTTTGCGATGTAACAAAGAGATACTGGAGATGGATCCACTAGATGATGCAAGAGATATTGAGAACTAAAATCCCATTTTTGCTGGAAATATTATTACTAAATATATTTCCAAAGGATTTTGATAAAGGTGATAGATATTTGATACTACATCTATCTACAGCAGCAAGAATATTATATGCAAAATATTGGAAACAAATGGAAGTGCCAAAGAAGCAAGAATATGTGAATAAACTTTTGGAGACGGCTGAAAACGACAAACTGTCATCGTTGATGAGAGTTAACATTTCAAAAGACGTGGAAAAAACTGTATGACTGGTACAATACAAATGCATAGTTTAAAGTAATGACGTTTTTGGTATTTATTAATCTCTTTTAGTTAAATAGAAACTATGGTAAAAAAATAAGAGTATACAGAAACTTGAGCAAACTTATAGAAAGCGATTAAAAATGTTTTAAAATATGGCAATAGAGTATAAGATAATATACTGATCTCTCTGTATGTTTTATGTATGTTAGTGGATGTTTGTTATATGTTGTAGGCATGTTTGTTTGTGTATAATATGAAAAATAATAAAAGTGTACCTAATGGGTTCTAAAAAAGAGAGAGTGCAGACTCTACTCTGCGGCTGAATCTGCATCTGCTGTGTAAAGCAGTCTGCTGCGACACCACTGTACTCTGTTCCCCTTTCCCTCCCATTCTGGCTCGGAACAAAGGCTAGCTGTCTGCATCAGTCCTCACCATGGCAACCGCGGGGGCGCAGGAGGAAGAGCGCACGCAAGAGGGGGGAGGCCTCCCGGGGCGCCAGTAGGGCACTACACTGCGGGGAGGATATGGCATTCACAACTCCCCTGCAGAAAGTAAGGTGGGGGGGGTAACCTGGTGGGGGGGCAGAGGGGGGCACGAAACTGAACAAGCTGGGTGGGTGTGCGTCTAATTCACCAGCAAAAAAAATATGATCGCAGAAAAATGTTCCCTGGTTGCTTTTAAACACACAGACAACTGAGCGGGGAGGGAAAGAATTCGGTTCCAGTTGTCTGCTTTTCGCTTACAGCGTCTTGAGCGGCGGAAAAGACCAATGCAGACTGGACCTGTGTCTTCTCTAATTAATACTTGGGTTCAGCTCCATGAAGATGATTGGAGTGGAACAAGAAAACAGAACGTTATTGGGACAAAATGGTGGATGTGATGAATTTCCTGGGAGCTAGATACCACCACACAGGATTTTTCCTGTCACAATTCCATGACTGCCCCACTACATTGAGGTTTCCACCAGGACTGAAAAAGGATTGATGGGATAGAATCTAGGGCCTGGGTGAAAACCTGGATCAATAACTGAGGGTTAATGAGGCAGACTGACAAGAACAAGTAGTTTTGCTTTTTAAAGGTGAGCAAAGGAAAAAAATGATTCAGGAAGAAATACACAAATGAGATAAATACAAACAATCAGGTGTTGTGGGGTGTTAGGTTTTAAACAGTTTGTGCCCGAGAAAAACTCTCAGGCAAATTTATTGCATAAAAATACAGTCCTCTGCTGCAACTTTGCTTCACCTCAGACTCAGTGAATCCCACTGGAATACTGGAATACCTTGTTATGCTCAGTTATCCAGACAAGGGAACTTAACCAAAGATCTGATTTCCCCACAGATCTTTAATTTATACTCCAGTTAAGCTGACCCTTTGACCCTTCTCCCTTACTCACAGCGTCCAACCTCTGTTTCTCCACCCTCAAACCCTAAATGGACTAAACCTTGCCTTGTCAGACTTTAACTCTTCCTTCCCAGTCCACAGCTCCTATTGGCTGGATGAGAGCATTGCTCAGACTGGTTCCTGTGTTGCAGGGTACATTCTGTTGGATATCGTAACTCTGCATGCAAGAGGATTTTGGGGGGAAGGGGTTAAGAGAATTCTCTCACTCGGATACACTTGGCAGTTGGCCTTACCCTCTCATCAGTTTTTCTGTGCTTCCAAGTCAAATTATTTTTTTTACATTTAACCCAATAGGTTATGGGCCCAGAGTATATCAGAAGCTTGGATTAAGCTTAATGTTTAAAAAAGCCTTAAAGTCTTTGATTAGCAGATCCCCTTGATGTTTTTTTTTAATCTTTAAAAATTCGTCATTGTTTTTCTCCACATTACTGTGATAAGGATGGCTGAATCAAGCAGATATTTGGAGATCCTAAAACTTAACTATAGAAGCTGGCTTAAAATGTTTCATATATTCCTTGAAGCAAATGGAGCTGCAGTAATCCTACAGGAAGAAAAACCAACAGAGAAAGGTAAGGAATTTGACTCTTGGATAATAAAAAATGGGATGGCCAAGAACATTGTTATGGGATCATTAGATGACAGTGAGACTTTGATGTCTGAAAATTCCCAGACAGCAAAAGAAATGCTTAAGAGGCTAGAAGAGTCTTTTGGGTTCCCTAATATTAAATCACAAGGAGTATGGATAAGAAAACTTTGCAAAACAAGGTTGTATAACAGAGAAAATTGTGAAAAATATATGTCTGAACTGAGGCAGGTGTTTGAAAATGTACCAATCTGTGGCTGTAGTCTAACGAACAAAAGGCAAATTTTATGCTTGGGACTTTGGGAGAAGACTTTTCTGCATTTATGAGTGTGCAGAGTCCAAGCCAAAAGAAAGATGCAAAAGCTTTCAATCAGGCTCTATAAGAATTGCAGGAGAAATGCTCAAAATGGCTTATTGAAGCTGAAATCACCAAATGGCTCAAGTTATATTTCTAGAAAGAATTTGAAAGAGCAAGTCCCACACAGCGAAAGGGAGAAAACCCAATCACTGTGTTGTTTTAATTGCAACAAAAGGGGCTACTTTGCAAAAGACTGTAGAGAGCCACCAGCTGCTAGTAATTTTTCTAAGACACACAGGAACAGCACACAGGCTATAAACAGACAGAGAGGCAATTTGAAAAATCAAAAGTATGATGGTTCTAATGCAGCACACAAAGGAAAAAAGTTTTTTACTAATTGACCATAAAAGCCTTATTTATGATGCTGCTGCTGAATCAGAATCAAAAGAGAATAAGTAGCTAATAGATGGTAGAATATCTAGTCACAGCACACATTTCGTTGATGAACTTAATC